CATACGTGGATGCCGAGGACGGCATACGTAGAGAGGGGCGTTCTATCAGATATATATTGCATACCAAAGTTATTATAGGCATCAGGGGTGGCTGAAGCCACTGGCCCTGTGGCTGGGAGTGGCTCAGGAAGCCCCGATTGGGTCACGTGCATAAGGACGCACCCAGGGAAGAACCTTCGCAGCCGAGGAATGCTTCTAGAAGATCAAGAGATTAATACAGTCACAAAGGACCCCGTACTCGCAGCGATCTAGCTGCGCCCTCTCGACATTATGCACCTTCTCACTCTCTTCATTAAACCCAGTTCTGACACTATATGCGTATATCAAAACGCGAAAATTCTAAGGGCTACCCTAAACTCTTATATAGTATACGAGGTACTAATTTATAAACGAACATCTGAATATTTCTTAATATAACTTAGCCTTATCTAAGGGTGACTTACTAGGGTATTTAAACCTATTGCCACTCGCTATAGGCATAGGAGTTGTTGTGGGCTAGGCCTTTGTTGGAACAACTTGTAGCTCAGATTGAGCCTATCAAACGATAAGGTAGAAAAGAGAAGAGAAAAAGGAAAATACTGGCCCTTTCCCTTAGAGTGCACTGCGAAGTCCGTGTGTGCCCGTGTGTTCACGTCACGTATCCAGCTGGTCCGGATTGGGCCTCGTGCCCAGTTGCGAGCAGTAGGTAGAACCGCAACAGGAGTTATAGGCTCATGCGGGACTTGCGTAAATAATGTATGTTTATTCAAACAAAGTATTCTCGACGTGCGTATGAAAAGGCAGCTATATGTCTTTTCACTTTCCGGAGATAGATAAATCAGTTTCAGGATGTCTGCCACGTGTCATGCAGGAGGTCCTGAAGCGTGTACGACATCATACTATTGTGGTCACTGCCAATGCCGTGTGTTGTGGGCTAGGCCCGGTTAGAACAGCTTAGTAGCTCAGATTGAGTCTGTCTAACGATAAGGTAAAAAGAGGGAAGGAATAAAGGGATTGCTGGCCCGTCTCCTATGAATACGCTGCGAGGCCCCTGCGTCCTCTAGGGCTTGCGTCATGTGCACAGGTAGTCCGGGCTGAGTCTCATACCTAGCTGCAAGCAACTGGTAGAACCGTAACATCATGTCAGCGTGAATTTAAAAATTAGAAGATGTATCCGTTTGCATACGACTCACGTCGCTTCACACTTTGCCTGCACAATTGTAAACGATTCGTTTTGTCGTAGATCTCTTGATCAACCGCTTCCTAAACTACTAAGAAAAACGGCCGTTGCTTTCTGTATGTGTACTAGTAACCCACACCATCTTCATCATCTCTGTAATTAAAGCACCCAAATACAAGTTCTTGCTCCGGTGCCGCGCTCATGTATCAAAGACTCCACAAGTCTATGTCTAAATTTTAAACTATCCACCCTCCATCCGCCAGTGTATTGGCCGCAACTTCGTACATTGGTCGGACCTGGTTGACCACCTCACTATCATAATGTAGGAGAAGGACGTGGAGTAGCGGCGGTCCATATTCCTGTCCAGTGTCTTTGTGGTTAACTAAGGATAGTGTTTCTCAAGGCCGAGGGGGCTAGGGTCGAGGGGGTCAAATCAGTCCATTTTAGGACACGCGACAAATAGCTATATCTACTGAACATTGGCTATCTCAAGTACATACGACCAAACCCAGTGGAAAATACGGGATCCCGTCCGCTCTCCCAGAGTCAAGCTGCTGAGGGGCTAATTAGTAGTTGGCTCGGTGACGACCAGCGAATACCGGCTGTTGTATGCTTTTTTTGCTGTTTGAGCATGCGGTGCTTGAGTAGAGCTTCTCAATCTCAATAGAAGCGAATCACTGGTATATCTTGTCGAAGCGATTACCTCCGGCCGAATTAACTCAGTTAGTAAGTTTCTGGATGTACCTCCTCGAGCTCCTGGGGGTGCGCATCCCGATTCAAAGTATCAGGCCAGCCATGTTTCCGCAATGTTTGACTCAAAACCTAAGTCGCAGGCCTAATAAGTAGAGCGTCATCCAAGCTCGCAAAGACAGAACATACACTTCCGACGTCCCATGTGTACGGCTGGATTGTCATGTTCCACAATTTCTTCCCCCTTGGGCAAGGGACCATCTTAAATATTTTAATTTCGTTGTAGAATTAGCCGAGGCTCATCTTTTGGTGGCTCTACATAGCTTTGTCCTGTCGTTTTTGGTGGTCTTCATGTATGGGACGCATCGCCAAACCTTTCGCAGTGTCGATGATCCACCATGTTCGCAAACTGGTCGCGTGTCTATGAAATGAATCCAGCTGGCCAATTTTCAGGACCAGGTATCAGCAGTTTGTCAGACAGATTCTGTCCTTGGCACTCTTTTGCGACCAAAGATTTGAACGGCCAGGTGTCGCGCAGATAGTTCAGATGCTGGGTCTCAAAGTATACTTGGTTTCTGTCTTCACCGTCTAACTGTTTCAAATAAGGTACATGTCGCAGGAGATCGATTACTTCCTCGGAGCGACCAAAAGCACGGAGAACATCAACAGCAAGCTCCTCATCGCTCCAGCCTTCCTCTAGAGGGTATCGGACTTCTGCTGGATCAAAGTACACCGCTTTCGTCAACAGCTCGTAGTGCCGCTTGATACAATGAACCACCACATCCCGATCATAGGCCATTCTCAACGTTGCGGACCACTTGCAGGTTGTGAAAATTGTGGTGGACTGCGCAAGATCTATTGCGCGGACAACAGTGGAGTACAGTTTGTATAGCGGGCTACATGGTACAGTTGCCACGGACTTGGCTGCTGCAACAATGTAAGAGGTAGAAAGGGTTGTGAGAGCTTCACTTATTTGTCAAGACGTCGCGGGGGAAAACAGCGTCGCGTCACGTGCACGGCATGGATCCATCGCCAGCAACGTGGTGAATGTCACGTGACTACCCTACGGTTTGCCCAATGTCGTTGTTGCGAACAACGTCTGTCAATCCCTAATAGGTGTCTATATGTATATATACAAAAATAATACAATGTGTATGGATCGAATTGATTGACTATTGAAGACATGCTGAACCTCATATACTTTATTTATGACACATTCAATTTTTCAATTTGTCTGGAACAAAACACACTTGCACTTTTGCGCCAACTCGGTAAAGCAAGTCAAAGATAAACCTGCCGACATTGCACCCCAACACGTAGAAAAGCGAAGCGCTCTAGTGTCCTTATTTATTGATACCTCAAATAGTACCATAGCACTTGATGGAACCTAAGAACAAGAGGCAGAGCATGTTTGGACTTCACTATAGGCTGTCTAGGGTAAGCAGCCCAAACAATTGACGCGAGTCAATAGACTCCCCACCAACACAGCCAAATCGTATCTTGACTCGGCCAGGAATGCAACCACCATCGAGTCGGTTCATGGACGAAATCTCAACAGGGAACCATACTGCACCCTACAGTGGTACATCGGTGAACTACGACCACGGTTGAACCACTGTCATCAAGGGTGATGATGATGTCGATGCTCAGCGTGAAATTCTGTCGCCATCTCGGACCGGCGCATGCTCATTTCCCGACTGGGTCGCTGGTTGCACCAACAGGGCCCACTGATTGGCTTCAGCAAGGGAGATCCGTCCCGTCAAAGTTTCGCGCCAGAGAACTGAAAAAGAAAAGGGGACCTGAAGTCAGCGTCCCTCAATCTTCCGATTCAGAAAGTTGCGACTCCAGGCGCCTACGGTAGAAGCCTCTCGTCAAAGCTCACAGCATGCTTCAAACCTTTGGCAAAGCAGTGCGGCTGAAATTTCGTAGGTCTGCGACGGGAGAACCGACACAGCGGCGATGACGCCTCGAACCAAGGGCACGGGTATGCAGGCGGCAAATAAACATTGGCGTGCGACGTACGTGCCTCGATCTGACGTCGCATTCCTTTCTCCCGGGGGGGAAAGGCCTGTCGTGACCTCACCGCGGCATTCGCGCACCATTGCAGGATGAACAAAAACCGCCATCAAAAGGACGAATTCTCATTATGCCCTCCGCAGTTTCGACAAGCGGACTGCGGCCCTTTTATACCAATATTCTCAAGTGTCTTCATGCCATCTTTGTCAAGGGAATGCCTCAGCAGCTGAGCATCGCGAAATTGGCACTCATGATCCACCCACGTGCCAATTCTGCTGCTTGATTCGTTCCAAGCCAGAATTAAAGCCGCCAAGTGGGGGTTCTCTCGTGGGGGCCTCCCGTTACCTGCTAAGCATGTTCCTCCTTGCGTCCTGAGGCTCAGAACACAATTGACTTCATGCCTTAGACAGACAGACAGCCGGAAATGATAGGAAAAATTTTCATGGCCTGGCGGACAGCCGACAGCCCCCTTTTGCGCGCGACTGCAGCCCTGTCGAACGGCAGCACCTTGCATACTGATTCCCATCATTGGCAGCTTTCGCATTTGGCTGGCCATTTTGGTTGGCATCATGATAGTTGCCCGCCTGGCAAACATGGCCTTGCGTCGTGGCCCTTCTTCGCTTGGCAACTGGACTGAGGCCTTTTCAAATATTCACCGCCCATGACTCCATCACGACCCGTAGCGTTTCCACTAATTTCATTATTCATGATCCACTGCTCCTGACGGAAGCAAATCAAGCCCCAGCATTGATCCTGAAAAGTCCTCCCGGCTTCCCCCGACAGGCTGGCTTTGACGACAAGTGTCCACCCTTGGGTCAACATTGGCACAGACCTTGGCTCCCACGCACCCGGTACGCCCTGACGTCCGCGTCTCACCACCAAGAAGCAAAGTCCCTCGTCACCACTTCGCATCTCGTCCTGAGGCATCAGACAACTTCGCTTCCTCTGTTGCCCCGTAGCCCGTGGCCGGCGCCCCTAGCCAAGGTGGGACCCCCAGCTTTTTGACTTTTCCTTCTCGTCCTTCCTCCTCTTCCAACTTCGCTTCCCTCTCCCTTTGCTTGAGCTTCACCCATCCACCTCCAACAAATCCCAACTCTATCCCTCACCAACCACCAACACCCTCACAACCATCACAATGGCCGCCCTCCGTGTCTCCGCCTCCCGCATCGCCGGCCAGATGGCCACCAAGGCCGCTCGCCCTGCTATGCGTGCCCCCGTCGCCGCCTCCAAGCGCACCATCAGTGAGTAAAATCTTTTCCGGGCCGCAGCACGAAGGCATTGAGCTCGACCGCGACCTCGAGCGCTTCTGCGACGACACCAATTGCTCCGACCGGTAGCTGACGACCTCGCCCCTAGGCACTGCTTCCCCCATGCAGGCCCTCAAGCGCCAGCAGGCTTCCAACGTCCTGAACGCCACCAAGCGCAACGCTTTCGGCGTCCAGAAGCGTGCCTACTCCTCTGAGATTGCTCAGGCCATGGTTGAGGTCTCCAAAAACTTGGGTATGGGCTCTGCCGCCATCGGTCTGACTGGTGCCGGTATCGGTATCGGTCTCGTCTTCGCCGCTCTCCTGAACGGTGTTGCCCGCAACCCTGCCCTCCGTGGCCAGCTCTTCTCCTACGCCATTCTGGGTTTCGCTTTCGTCGAGGCCATTGGTCTTTTCGATCTCATGGTTGCCCTCATGGCCAAGTTCGTAAGTGTTAAATCGCGCACCGTCGACCGACCGCAGCCGTTAACTTCGAATAGACCTAAGTTATCTCTCCACCGCCGGCTGGCAACGCTCGTACCGATCGACCGAGCTCGAGTTAAGACGGAGCCCGCTGGGCTCGATGCATTTCGCGGAGTTTTATGTCCAGCCACTTCTACCGCGTGTGCTGTGTCATCATCATGATAGAAGGGGACCTGCTTTGTACTTGACGGGATAGACTCTCGGGGAGGTACCCCGTAGATGGAGTGTCGTCTTGGGGGTGATAGAGTTGGGAAAGCGACTGTTTTCCCCAGGGACCACTTGTAAACTAAAAAGACTCAACCAGCTCGGATTACCCGAGTGAAGAGCTTTCTTTTGTCACAATTGAATAATCAAAACACTGTGTCTCTCGACTGCGTTGCGTGTCTCATCCTGGTAATTATTGGCCTTACACAGCTACCCGAAGGAGCCGAAGGGAGCCGAACTGAGGCATTTGACGATGCTGTATGTGCTTGACGCTCCTGCTGATTATGAGATTGGGGCATTTTCGGGCGGCAGAACTGGCTGCCTGCGACCGCGGTAAATGCCATTCGCCCAGAGACCCAATGAACCGAACACTTCGTGCCTGCCATTTGAGGCAGCAAGCAGGCTCCATTCGGGAACGGTGCGCAATTCGTGGCATCAACTAAGGCCAAGAGTCGACAGCACCCCACACGGTGCCAAAGTGGTCATGTCCTTATCGCGGAGCCACTTTCTGAAGCCATGGAGAGACCAATGATGCTGTTCGTCTGGGCGCATGAGGTGGATCGTCGGACGAGTGGTTTTCTAGATCGGCCACAGATATCAGAGACCGTTTAGTATGTAAAGACACTGACGTTAGGCTTTTGTTTTGCATCCTGAGAACCAGGCGCGCTTGCGAACTAACGACCGCGCTCCGGGCTCGTGATTTCGACCAGCTGTCTTGAAATGAGGCGTCACGATGTTGTCGACGGCATCCACGACGACCACTGAGGCGACCAGAGCAAGCCCCGCCGCAGATCATGGGACAAACAAGTCGAGAGGCTGGGTGTGGGTAGGCCGTCACCCAACCGAATTTCGATAACCGTGACAATTTTCGAAGCGGTCCGCATCAACTCGCCCATGGCAACACCAAGCATGTGTCGAGGATGGGTGGGACCATCGCGGATACTCGGAGAGCAAACTCGACGCGCATTGGTCTCATGCTGTGCAGGTTCCCAACCATGGTCACTATTGAGTTGGAAAAAGCGCCAATGTTTGAGCAGCACTGCTTGGATGATGCCTGAGCTCTGTTGTCATCTCTTGTTCTTCATCACGGGGCCCTTCTGGATTGGCGTGTTCGGGTCCCTGGAAGCCGCAGGACGCTGGGCACCAAACACGACTTCGAATGAGAAATCCGAGCAATGAGCAGAACGTCTGTCGTAGCCAATCGAGAAGACTTAAGCGGCAGGGCTTGAATGCGGCCTCTTCAGGATTCCGGATATGGTCGGTAATCGTGTTGCATCGTTTCGTGGCGGAGGTCGCGGATTTTGCTGGCGATGAGTAAGAAGTCGACTTACAGCAAGACAATGAGGAGCCGCCGGCATTCGACATTATTGGGATTCGATGAAAGGCATCGCTGGCGGGCTGAGACGAGCCTGAGGACAACGAAGAAATGCTGGAGGTTCACTGCTCGTGTGCGCAGGCGTGGGCTGCTGCTACGCAGACTTCGAGAGGTCAAATGATATCCCACCATGCTATCGATCAGGAGTCCATGCCATGGACTCACTGTAGATTGATCTGCTAGCCATTAGCTTTAGTGGATTTGCCATTGCTCTCGACTCACCTTTGGGCGACGGGGATCACCGAGCTCCCCACCGAATCCACAATCAACGACATCGACGACCCACTCTCGGTCTTGTCAACACAACGCTCCAGGACACGCGATGTGGCACTGTCGCACGGCGAACACATCAATTGACGAGGAATCAAGGGAATTGACAAAGGGGGCAGAACGAGATGAAGGTGTGTGGCCCCCCTCACCTTCCCCTCACGCGGACGAGTGGCTGGTCACATGACCGCATCTGCACGAGAGATGGCGAGAACGAGGCGACGATGATGGCCGCAGTGAAGTGTGTCGGGGATATGCAGAAGGGCAGGAAATAGTGACCGCAAGCAAACAGAGCTGTGGGCAGTGAAGAAGGACGGGAGGGGCTCGGACTTGTACATGGCGCTGAGGAGTATTTGAGGAAGAGTCAGCGTAGCACTGCACGGCCCGGGGTAACGTGTGGGAGGGAGGGTGGCAATCAATGCACGCTGGACGGTCCAGCCCCCCCATGGGGTAGTACGGCGGCAAAAGAGTAGGGTCACATTACTTGCAGGATGTGAGTGCGTAACGAAGTAACCTACGTGGTCATTGTTTCTGGCGCGTGTCACCGACTCACCATGCACACCGCGCGTTCGGCAGAGATGCATTGCACCCGACTTTCAAGTATAGCGCGCGACGAGATGCGATGAAGGAATGGCTAGCACTGATGCCATGACTTTACAGGATAGACCGCGGATAATGGAGAGGTAGCGCAATTAAGACATGGTGATTGATCTCCCGCTGGCTATTTTCTAAATGTGGCGCTCCTCTCACCCTTGATCGGAGGCGCCTTTCTCGCACCCTTGACACCCTCTTCCACCGACTTGACGTACGGGTCAAAGACCTTCTGCTTCTTCTGCTTCTTTCCCTTGGCCGCCTCAGCCTCCTTGGCGGCATCGCGGTCTGCGTTGATGACACTGGCTGCTTGGCTGTAGTCAAACGGCACCGCGGAGAAGGACTTCTTCTCGTCGTGTTTCCGCTGGATCTTCTCCTTCTGGCGCTGCTGGCGCTCTGCCTTTTTGCGCCTCTTTTCCTCAACGGCCGCCTGCCTTTCCTCATGATCCTCAGCTACCTGATACTTGTCCTTCTTCTTCTTCTTTGGGATCGGCTTGACGTCCACCTCAAGTACGCCATCACCGGTTTCCATCTCCCCTTCAGATCCCTGCTCGGCTTCCCCTGAGCTTTCCTCGTCACTCGTAGAGCCTGACTCTTCAGTCTCCACCTTGCGCCTCTTGCCGCGCTTGAGCGTGAACTCATCGTCTTCCTCTTGCTCAAGTGGAAGCTCTGGCGTCGGCTCATCGTCGTGCCGAGACGTTGTATCGCCAGAATGTGTGTCAATTGCTGCAGTCGCTTCAGCCTCACCATTGGCGGCGCCTTGGACGAACTTTTGCCACGGGAAAGGCACGGTCTCGTCGGCTCTGTCATCCTCCCGTGTCTCTTCCCACCGCGAGCTAATCGGCATGGTGCCAAATAACTGGGATCTGGGGAGACTCCGGATCACCACCTCACCATCAACAACCGGCAGATTGCTAGTGAACTTGGCAACTCGAGGTACCCCATGCTTGCTCAACGACTCTGGTTCCAAAGAAGTAAGGAATTGTAGCAAGCTTGACCCACCCTCAGCTTTCACCTTCTTCACTGTCTGCCAGATTTCACTCAGATTTCGCTTCGCTATGGGCGGACTAGGCGGTAGTAAGCTGTGCAGCGCCTTCTGATCTGGTGGACATGTCCGGGCGATCTGCGTCAGTGTAGTCGTACTCATGATGTAGTTGGGGTTCTCGTCTTCTCGTCGTGCGGCCGTGTCTCTCCACTTCCAGAGCGCGCGGAACACAGCGAATTGATCAGCGTTCAGAGCCAAGTGCCCGTTCTTGAGCACATAATTGTACCAGCCCCTGGTTCCTTCGCCAGTCTTCTCATCAAAGTCGAGATGTTCGTGGCGGTACAGAGAAACTTCCTTGGAAGCGTCCACAGCTTGCTGAATGAGATCGGTCTCGGGATTGCTTCGATCTGATGCGTCGATGAGCTGGTTGCGGACTTCGTCGTAGATGTAAAGCAGATAGTGGGTATCTGAGCGGGCATAGTACATCATCTCTGAGGGTATCGGTCTGACCTGTTAGCTGAGAAGTTTCGAAAAACTTGCGAACTGCTGGCTTACCGCATGCGCCAGTCAGCAAGCTGATATTGCTTGTCGGCAGTAAAACCCGCAAATTTCGAGAGGAGGAATGCAAGGCCGCGGCCGGGATACTGTAGGAGCTTGCAGGCAAAATAGGTGTCGAAGAGACCATTGACATATAGTCCCAAGTCCCTCTGCAGCCAAATCATGTCCATGTGCGCACCGTGAAAGACCTTGACAACGCCCGGGTCGGTAAAAACTTCGTTGAGGACCTCGAGCTGGTGGCGCCATGGCTGCAGTGTGTCGATAATAAAGTCGCGCTCACGTGTGCTGATTTGCATTAGGCAGACGAGGCCGGTGTACGTTCGGAAATCGTGATGTTCCAAGTCGACTGCGATTTCCTCCGCTTCCTTGAGTTGTTCTAGCATGTCCAGCACACCCTCGTAGGTGTCAATGTACGTGACATCCGACTCTTCCATTGGTCTGTACTTGATGGGCTCTGCCTTTTCGAACACCCGATTCGGATACTCGTTCTGGGCGATTTCGGCTTCGTAAGGGTGCTTGTATTGGGTCGAGCCACTGGGTGTGGTGAATGTGACAAGGCTCTTCCTAAGAGGCAATACCGCGTGGTGCTTCTTGGTGATAATGGGCTTCCAGGGGCCGTCCGGAGAATTCTCAGGTTGCAGCTCAAATGTGGTCTGGGGCTTCATGATGTTGGCGTTGCGCACCACCTTGGGCGTGGCTTTCTGCTTCTTCGCATCCGCGCCATTCTCGGTGCCCGGGGGATCTTTGCGTTTGATCAAGCCAGTATACTCGTCCAGCGCGGTATCCGCCTTCTCCAACACCGTGTCGACGACATCCACCACGCCGCGCCAGTTCATATCAATGTCCTCCGCATCTTCCAGGGTCGGCGCCGTCAGCCCGCAGACATCAGCCGCCGATTTGAGTAGTCGTGTCGTGAGGTCGCGCAGGCGGGCAGACTGATCGTCGAGTGATTGCGCAACGGTTGGATTGACTGTTCGCTGGAACGTGAGGTCTTCGGCGGCGATGCGATTCGCCGTCTTGACGGTCGAAACAAGAGACTTTTGCACACTCTCTTGGAGTGATGTGAAGTCCTGCGAGGGCTCCATCTTAGAGACGAAGAAGTTCCTCAATGATTTGATGAGTACGGCGACCTGTTGGATGAGCGAAACGACTGGCCACCGTCTCAGCGTTTGTTAAAAGGCAGGCACTCGGGCGCGCGCGCGTGGCTCCCGTCGTTTGACTTTTCGCAACAATAGCAGAAAATGTCTGGTATCGGCTTTGTGATAACGGCTATCGATAAGCCACCGCGTGGCAGCGTCCTTCACTTCAGCTGCAGCTCCTGGTTGCTGTTGAACTTCTGTCCTCGCATGGATGCTCAATCATTGGCGACGCGCAACCTGACATTATTGCAGCTTTCGGATCAAACTGAGAAGATGGCGAACAGTGACTCCCATTGTCGATCTCCAGGGCGCTTCAATGTTCATTGTGTGGCACTGAAGTGAGCCACGGATTGCGGAAAACGGTGATTGGCTGCTACTAGCCTCTGGTTTGTGCTGTCCAACCGTTCCAACATGTGCCGCAACTGATGTACTTGTAGTTGCAACATTTGGTAAGAATTTACAGAGCTTGCACTCACGCCTAGATCGTCCTCAAGACCACCAGGTTCTCCCCAAGGTCGGCCGAATCGGATATCCGTGCAAAGGCAAGGTGCTGCGCAATCGTTACGACCCTCAATAATTGACTTCAGTGGCAGTCCAGTCCAGCTTTGACAGGTAGAGCGGACCTTCGCTCCGGATAAAATGGAGCCGCGCGGGAGTTTGTCACCGTGACGCTGTGCGGGAGCTCTGTTTCTCTTATCAAATTTGCATGAAATCGAGATGCCGCCCTGACCACTGCCGGCAAAGAATCCCCATCGCCAATTAATGCATCAAAATTTCGATCAACACCTTTCACAATTGCCTGCCTGTGACGCGGCGCTGTCTGCTGCCCTGATTTTCCCCGACTGAAATAGGACCCCCCTGTAACTCTGCCCCTCCATGCCTTAATACCCTTTCCGCTTAGAAGTCTGCGGAACCTGTTAGTGCCCCTCCTCGCCGGATTGTGACCCGAATCGAACACGGTCGAGACAGACTGGAGCTACATCAGCGAGGGTTCCCTCAAACAAAGCTCTCCCGCGCTCGACCTGTCCGTCTTTTCTCTGCGGATATTAATATTACAAGTCAAGTCAGAAGGCTACATGTTCTTGTTATCACAGAGACCTTAATTCCACCCTCCTCAGGGCCCAAACTGCCACCTCCCAGAGCACATTAACCACCCACGACGTCATCACGATCACCTTCACCGACAGCGAACATCAGTCCGAACCGATCGAACAAGAACACCTGTCCCTCACAGTCAAGATGACTTCTGTGGAATCGGACGCACAGGCCGCTTCCGGCCGCTTGTTGCTTCTGTCCAACCGACTGCCCATCACCATCAAGCGAAGCGAGGCTGGCGCCTACTCCTTCTCCATGTCGTCAGGAGGCCTCGTCACTGGTCTCAGTGGTCTTAGCAAAACGACGAGCTTCCAGTGGTATGGCTGGCCGGGACTCGAAGTGCCTGCGGACGAAGTCGATGGAATGAAGCAGCGCCTCAAGGACGAGTATGGCGCGCACCCCGTCTTTATTGACGACGAGACCGCGGACAGACACTACAACGGCTTTTCGAGTATGATTCCCGTGGTACCAGAGACAATAAAACACCCACTGACACGGATACAGACTCAATTCTCTGGCCGCTTTTTCACTACCACCCCGGTGAGATCACTTTCGACGAGCCCGCCTGGGCCGCTTACCAAGAAGTCAACCGGCTCTTCGCCAAGGCTGTCATCAACGACGTCCAGGATGGCGACCTGATCTGGGTGCACGACTACCACCTTATGCTTCTCCCCCAGATGCTCCGCGAAGAGCTTGGCGAATCCAAGAAGAATGTTCGCATCGGCTTTTTCCTCCATACGCCATTCCCATCATCGGAGATTTACCGTATCCTACCGGTCCGAGAATCCCTCCTCATGGGCCTCCTCGATTGCGACCTGATTGGATTCCACACCTACGACTACGCCCGCCACTTTCTCTCAAGCTGTTCGCGCATTCTCGGCGCGCCGACGACTCCCAACGGCATTGACTGGAAAGGTAAATTTGTTACCGTTGGCGCGTTCCCGATCGGCATTGATCCCGAGAAATTCGTCGAAGGGCTCGAGAAGCCCACTGTCAAGGACCGTATCGCTGTGCTGAAACGCAAATTTGAGGGCGTTAAGATTATCGTCGGTGTCGATCGCCTCGACTACATCAAAGGTGTTCCCCAAAAGCTACACGCCCTCGAAGTGTTCCTTACCGAGCATCCCGAATGGGTCGGCAAGGTTGTCCTCGTCCAGGTCGCTGTGCCTTCGCGCCAAGATGTCGAGGAGTACCAGAACCTCCGCGCTGTTGTCAATGAGCTCGTCGGCCGCATCAATGGAAAGTTTGGCACCGTCGAGTTCATGCCCATTCACTTCCTGCACCAGTCTGTCTCTTTTGACGAACTCACTGCCCTGTACGCTGTCTCTGACGTTTGTCTCGTCTCCTCGACCCGCGACGGCATGAACCTTGTTTCCTATGAATACATTGCCACCCAGCGCCAGAACCACGGCGTAATGATTCTTTCCGAGTTCACAGGCGCCGCCCAGTCTCTGAACGGGTCCCTCATCATCAATCCCTGGAACACGGAGGAAATGGCCAATGCCATCCACGATGCTGTCACCATGAGCCCCGAGCAGCGCCAAGTCAACTTCAAGAAACTCGAGCGCTACGTATTCAAGTACACCTCAGCTTGGTGGGGGGCTAGCTTTGTCGCAGAGATGACGCGGCTGAGCAAAGAGGATACAAGGAGCAAGACGCTGCGCAATGTGCACGGCGCTCTGGTGACGGGGGGCTTGAAGCCAGACCAAGCGGCAAATGCACCGAAACAAGTACGGATAGATGGCGATGGAGTCACCTCCGAGTCAACGGTGGCGAAATAGGTGCTTGTCGTCATGCGAATGGCTTCGCGAGAGAAAGCAGCGTGAGGAGCCATGTAGTAATGAAGCTATGGCTGCAGGCCATGACAACTGAAGGAAACTACGCAGATACGTACGCCGAGCAACGGCGAAGTCGGAGTCTAGGTTTAGCGGCTGGATTGAATTCTATTTGTTACCAAACGACGATGAAGGGGGCCAACTTTACAGTACCAATTACCGAGTGAACAGCTTGGGTATGCAAATGATGTAGAACAGTTTCGTTTCACGTAAGAGCTACAAGACACAGGTATCTAAGAAAATTGGTGCTTCGCCCGCCCTAACTCCCGAAATGGAAACCCCCCATTGATCAGTACGGCGAGTCAACCACATCGTCTCTGCCCAGTTTGTACCGTCCGCTATTGGCGCCTCCGATTCTCCCCGCAGACTTCCTACCTCCGCTTAGACAAGCATTGCCCATGATGCTCTCACGGGTTGGCTTCTTGAAACTCTGCTTTGCAACCATGTTGACCTCGTTGGGCAGAGCGACAATGACGTTCTTGTCACTGCCAAACTTGAAGTCATCTGCTTTGACCTCGTCTTCGTACCGCTTGATCTTGTAGGCCCCCTTCGTGCCACGCAGGACACGCTTCAGACTCCATTCCACTATGTACGGACCCGTTGCCGTGATAATTGACGTCTCGGCGGTGCCGTCGATGCCGGTATTGAACTTGGCCGGTGTGAAGGATATTGGCTTGCCCGTCTCGTGGAAGAATTGGGCAACGTGCTCTGCAGTCAGTGCGAGACGGCGAGGCTTGGGCTTCTGATCGGCGGAGAAGCCCTTCTCAAAGCCAAGTTTGCCCTCGTTCTTGCCATCCTTCTGTTGGGCATCAACAAGCAGGATGTAGTTCTTTGTGGTGCCTAGGATCCATCTTCCGTCGGCTGAAACGTCCATGCCAACAATTGGGTCGCCCAGTGCGGGTAGGGATGTCTTGGCGCGCATTCCAAGCTTGTCAAACAGTCGAATGTCACCCTTATTGCTCGCCACGGCAATGTAACCCTTCTGCGTGGTAGCAAGCGCAGAGAAGTCGTTCTTGGTGGCGTATTGCTTGAGGTCCGATTGCACCAACTTATCGCCGTGTACACGAGGGTCAACACGGAAGAGTGCGTTGTTCGAGACACCCAGGAACGTTTGCTCGGCGGTCATCTGCGCGAACTTGTTCTCGGGACCAAAGCTGACAACTCCAATGTCATCGTGGACGTTCCACTCATCGACAACCTTTCCTGCCTCAAGATCCATGCGGTAGAGCTTGTTGGGGTTGGTGTCGCTTTGGAAGACTAGGTCCCTGTCTTCGGAGTGAAGCATGACCTTGGAAGGATTGCCCATCTTCTTGCCTGTCGATGGATGCTCCAGTTTCGAAATGTTTGTAGAGAACTCGAGCTTGTTGTCAGGGTTGTGCCTGAACACACCAATCTTGTTTCCGCGGACCACAAAAGATCGATCATGCTTGTAACCGACGGCCAGCTGTGAGTTCATGTCGGCATCCTTGCCTTGGACGTCCACATTGTCAAACTCCTCGTCTGGGTCGTACTCTTCACCGCGGAAAAGGCCTTGGTCCTCCTCTTCATCTTCGTCATCATACTCGGGCTCCTCTTGCTCTTCTCCAACAGGCGGCGCATCCTCCATTGTCAAGTCGTTGAATGCATCTAGGACATATTCTCGCTCCTTGTCCTGTATCTTCTGCCACTTGGTCTCATTCAGCTGCTCCCAAATAGCTTGCATCAGGCCTTCCTGAAACTTCTCAAGGAGGTTCTGGTTTTGAAACCTAAGCAACCACGATCGCGCCGTGCCGTCCGGGCTGAAGTGGTTGAACACAAAGGAGAGCATCTCAAAGTCGAAGACCGGGTTCATGTCGGCCTGTACAGTGGTACTGACCCACACCCTGTCCTTGCCCTTGATCTGAAGCCAATACTGCCACTTGCCGACTTCGGTGACAGTGGAAATAACAGAGTCCTCTACCAGTGCGAAGTGGCCAGGTGCCGGATCGAACACATGGAGCTCTGCAGGCAACGCCGCGTATAGTTCTAACGCCTCCGGGGCCTCGGGAGGCTCAGCGGGCGAGAAGACATCAGACTCGTCGAGTTCTTGGACTGGAGTCTGCTGTCGCTTGACTCCAATATTGGCGTTATGGTTGGACGACACCATGTCGTCCAAGGAATCGTCAATAGATCGAGTGAGTTCTGAGAGGTCGGGGCCGTAGAGAGGACTGGCAGGCGGTATCGGAGGGTCTTCGTCGAAAGCAAATTCTTCTAAATCCTCCTCGGTAGCTGTCGCGCGAGGAACCTGGTATTCCGCCTCGTACTGGCAGCGCTGTGCTTCGAAGAGGAAGGTTTTGGCGTCTGTTTGCGTCACCTTATCACCACAGATGAACTCGTAGAGGTCTCCCTCATCGCCGTCGGGGACCTTCCAAGCGACCAGCGCTCGACCCTCAGCTGCCACGCCCGTTCGAAGATGGAGCTGGCCGTTGAGCTGAAAACTGGTTTCCTCGGCGTGCTCGTCTGTCTCCTCCTCTAATTCTGGGTCTTCCTCGTCGTACGCACGCTGAACAACAAGCGTGTATTCAAAAGATCGGGCCTCTTTGCGGACGTAGACGGCAGCGTCGGTGAAGATTTGCTGCGATGCTCCTTTGGGCGAGTTCGGCGGCCGAACCAGATAGAACTGGCCGTTTGGGATTTGGCAGATGATCTCCTCTTCGGTCTCTTGAGTTTTGAGCGCGGTTTGGGCAGAGCCAAACAAGACTGGTGATCAGGAATGTCAGCGTTTGTATCAAAGAAGTAAGGCAATAGAAAGGCGGCCACGAGCCAATCGTCGCATCACAAAGATGGACAAAGGGCAATGGCGACCGCTGGTGCGGGGCAAGCGAGGGGCTCATAAACGAGGGAGTGCAGGCAGGGCAAGGATCGCTCAGTTATTTTCGACTAGCGGAGGGGTTTCACACTTACGAGCGCGAAGAGAGTTCATCTTGGCAATGCGAGCGGATCACCCGCAGTGTGTGGAAAGTTGACGATCGACGGTTGGGATGGATGTTGGTCGGAGAAGTAAACAAAGCTGAAGGAAGGGCTGGGCGGGTTGCTAGATTGCTGACCCACTCAAAATCTCATGGCAGGTGAACAAAAGGGATGTGAGGAAGGGAACTTTGATGGTCGTTAGATCAAAGTCCATAAGTGGGCACATAGATGATGCAAAGCACTAAATAAGCCTGTCACCTGAGAGTCTCCGGTCACACGAAACCTCTTTGGTCAATTTGGTGCGTCATAGGCCTCACAGAGGGTGTCTCAGTACAAGTTTGGTAAGTAAAGGTGGTGTGCGGCCATGAATTCCTCCGGGCAAACGTGGAGGAGTAGGTGTGGCGCTCGTGGCAGCCTGGATTGTATTGGCAGCAGGTGTGGCTGATGGGCGCCACAACTATCCAAGTGATGCTGTGACAGGAGTCAAGCGGAACTACAGTGCCCTGATGGATTAGGGATAAATCGAAAGACTTCCATAAGTGAAGTACTTACTTTGTCTTGCACGTGGTCAAACCCAACAAACCCAAACATTTGTGTGCAGTCAGGTACAGAAGTTGTCATCATGGGTATCACGTGACGTATTCTTTCACCTGCTTCTCGGAAATGGCCATCAGCGGCGTCAGTGCGCACCTCGTCCATCATTCTCTTGTCTGAAGATTGTCTGAAAATTGTTCGTCCATCTCGGACTGATTTGCCGTCGAAACGGAACTGCATCTCTTTTGCATTTTGCGCAAAATCAAAATGAAATTTCCGTGGCTGGAGTTGGCCTTGACAGGATTCGGCGCTACAGCAGGCGAGGCTGAGGTGGACGAGAAGGTTCACAACGTTGCCGTCATAGGTAGTACTGCAGTCGTCAAATCTTGCGGAAGTTGTTTTAACAGTCACAGGTGCTGGTGCAGCTGGCTCATCAACAGCCTATTATCTCAGTCGGTTCGCTGAGACGCTACCGACAAACGCGCCCGCCCTCAACATCACTATCTTTGAGAAGACAGACCGCGTTGGTGGACGTTCCTTGACCGTCTCAGCGCCATCAGGGCAGCCGGTCGAGCTTGGAGCCAGTATATTCATCACAAAGAACGAGATTCTACTCAATGCAACACGTGATTTCGACCTTGCCCTGGGCAACCTGCGTGAGGGCTCTCCTGGAGATATCACTGCCATTTGGGACGGCCAGGAATTCGTCTATCAGACAACCGACGGGGAGAGCTGGTGGTGGGATGTCGGGAAGATGTTCTGGAGATACGGCATGAGCCCGTACAGAGCTGTGAATCTCGTCAAAGACACTGTGGGCAGGTTCCTTGAACTTTACGAAGAGCACAATTTCCCCTTTAGGTCACTATCAGCAAAGGTCTACGAGCTTGGTCTTGTCAAGCAGACGGGTATCACAGGCTCCGAATTATTGAAGCAGAAAAATGTAAGGCACATGGTTTCGTGCAACGACGCAGAGAGGACTGACAAGAAGCAGATTGACGAGAAGTTTGCAAGGCACATTATACAAGCAGCCACACGCGTCAACTACGCGTCAAACTTGGCATTTATCCACGGCGTGGAGGCGATGGTATCGTTTGCGACAGAGGGTGCTGTATCTGTAGAGGGCGGTAACTGGCAGATCTTCGACAAGATGGTCCAAAGCAGCGGTGCTACCCTTCACCGAAATACATCCGTGACATCCATCAGCAGGCCAAAGCAGGATGGGAAGTACTTTGTCTCGACAAAGATAGATGGCTCAGCATCCGCAGCTGAAGCCTATAGCATCGGCTTTGACGAGGTCGTCATCGCCGCGCCCTGGCAGTTCAGTCAAATCACTACCGACGCGTCGGTTCTCAGGCACAAGATCGAGGAAGTTCCATACACAAAACTTCACGTCACGCTCTTCACCTCACCATACAGACTCCACCCTCAGTTTTTCGGGCTTGCTCCCGGCGCAAAGGCCCCCAGTAACGTGTACACCACTCTCAGCGAAGACGAAACGCCCGCCAGCGGCGCTGATGGCGTAGGCCGCACTGGGTTCTACAGCATCAGCACCCTGAAGACGACCAACAATCCTAACACTGGGCGCCTGGAGTTTGTCTACAAGATCTTTTCCGCCGAAGCCATCTCCCCAGCGTTCCTGTCCTCGGTGCTGGGTACTGCGGTGCCTGACAGCTTCACGGGTGACAAGTCGCCGATTAGCTGGTATCACCCCGCTTGGTTCCACTCCTATCCCATCGAACTGCCGCGGGTCACATTTCAAGATCCTGTGGTTGGTGATGGTGTATGGTACACAGGTGGCATTGAGAGCTTCATTTCGACGATGGAGACGAGTGCCTTGATGGGAATGAATGTGGCGAAGCTGATTGTAGATGAGGTTGGGAGCTTTCCGCAGAAAGGCGGTGAGGACAAGGTCGCGGAGGATATGTATGGCAAGGGCGCGGATGGTCCTGGTGATGAGTTGTGATATTAGTAATTTTGGGATGCTCTTAATAGCGATGACTTTTATTGCTATCTGTCAGAACGGAATCATCCCTTACGATGCGTAAGAAGTCGCGAGCAATACATTCACAAACGAAATAGGGCATGCCACAGTGAGAAGTACGGATCGTACCAGCCGAGCGAGAAATGTTATCATTCCAATGACCAAGAGATGAATCCTCCATAAACGGCAGGTATTCCAAAAGGCGGCAAAGGGGATATCATGACGAAAAACAACAAACGCCAGGCAAAATCAATGCCACTTTTCCGGCCATTACCACGCCAACGCTATGCTCAAAAAATGAATCAGATCAGGTAAACCCAAAAACTAGGAACTCATATCATCATCGCTGCCCACACTGCCAGGTCCACCGACTGTAGCGGCGGAACTGGGGTCAGTGCGACCGGTAGCCTCGAGGCTGCTCTGTCTCCGACGCTCCAACGTGTCGACAGGCGACACCTTTGCGGGGCCCACGTACATTCCTTCAGTATCCGGCTCGTTCTCAGGATCCTCTCCATCCTCGTCGCCGCTCGTGAGGTCAACGCCGTCGGGGTATCCGTCGGATTGGTGAATATCAGCACGGCGGCTGGTCACCTCGGAGGACTCTAGCTCGTCATCCCCGTAGGAGGAGGACATGTCGTCGGTATCGCTTGACCCATCGCTGCTGAATGGAGGGAAGAATATTGCTGGTGGTGGCAGGCGCACTGGAGCGAGTCGCTTGATGCGTCCAGACGTATACTCGATTTCCATTGTGCGCGCCTCCTTGCGGGACGAGGTCGCTGTAATGGCGGCGGGGGACGATGTACTCATGGATGCCAGGCGGCCGATGATGCTGTCCGTCGTCTCCTCCGTTCTCGACATGCCAGTTTTGGTCTGGGGAAGTTCCTCCTTGGGTCGCTTGGTCGTGACGACCACCATGAAGTGATCCTCGGGCATGACACCGCCCAATCCACAGGGCTCAAGGGGGTGGACTTCGAGAAATTGCTGTTCGTTCGTCCACGACAGGTTGATGTCGACATCGAGCTCATCTCCGGATTCGTTGCCCGAATCACCCGTCAGAGCGGGAACGCCATCGTCAATGTCCATCTTGGAAATAGGGTCTGCACATGGTGCCTTCTCCGTCAGTGGGCGATAGGGCAGTGACGAGCCAGAGGCCGTGCGCGACACTTCGGGGCGAGCCTTGTTGTCGTTATCCTGAGCCTGTCCGTTCGACATCATGTAGGCCATAGGCGAGGCACTGCCGGCATCTCCAGAGAGGTCCGTACAGAACGGAGCGCCGCTGTAGTAGATGATGGCGCCATCGTGACGACGTTTCCGGCGGTTGTTGGCGGTGCCACCAGAACCACTCTGGCCCCAGCCCGACTCATCCATGTTGCTGTTTTCGATCGGCCCAAACGAGGAGAGGGTCTCATCGGGAGAAGTCTGACCGCCAGATGACTGACGGTGGACAAAGAGGGGTTTGTAGTGAAAGCTGTCTGAAGAGGCAGCCTGGGCGCCGGCTTTCGATCTGCTGTTCGAGCTCCCGGACTGGAACTCGTCGCCAGTCGATTGGCCAGTCTTCTGGCGCTTGCGCGACGCTTCTCTGCTGCTGTCGATTTCCTCATTCTCCAGGCTTTTCCCATTGCCTTCCTCAGAACTGTCGCTGCTGAACTTGGTACCGTCGGAACCGCCTTTCCAGCGAATCTTGCGACCATCTGGCGACAGTTGGAATTTGGTACTGATGCCGGTGATCGCAGAGCGAACAAAGTCAGGAGTTACATTGATCATGTGGAGCTGAGCGAGACTGGTAAGGAGATTCAAATACACCCATCCATCAGCGTCGGGGTGAATGTCGGATTCATCAGAGGACCGTTTTATGAGCTCCGGTGGCAACAAGCCGAGGTGTTTGATATATTCCATGTTCTCAGATGGGATTTGAACACGGTCGGGGTCCAGGTCGTGTAGGCGTGTAGGTCTCTGCTCAGGCGGTGGCGGGTCGGATGGTGATGTGGTTGTACCACTTCCGCTGCCATTCAACTCGGTCTGGTCGCCTCCTGAATGTGATGTTGACCCATTGTCTCTTGAGCGACTGGCCTTTTGGCTACCGTTTCTCTCATCGGTGGCCAAGATCCTCGCCTCGCGGCTAGCTTCGTTTGTGTTGGCGACTGCGGGAAGAGGTGCATTAGCCAACTGAGGTGGCTGGTGGACAACAGGCCTGGCTTGATGCTGCTGGCCCTCTGAGACCACAGATTGTAGCATTGGGTTGACATCCGGTTGCGCGCTCTTGATGCCCTTGCGATTACGTCCGCTGATTTTACCAGTGAAGAGCTGTTCCAGACGGCGGACAACAAGTTTCTTCTTTTGCTTCTCGGTCATCATAACGTGGCGGGGGTATAGTCCTTCGGGGATATCGCGAAGGTAGCTTTCCACCTTCTGCTCAGATGACTTGACACGCGAATTCATCGACTGGTGTCGTCCTGCCGACTGTCCTGACGAGTTCGCCCCGATCGACATGGATGCATAAGCAGAGTCGACGGGACGGGTGTTGGAGCCGGAGGAAGACGACGCATGCTTGCTCGCGGACCCGGAATTCGAGTACATGCGATCTCTGTAGTCCTTCGCCTTCTGGACCTTTCTCGGCGAAGAAGCCGCGTCTACCGAGTTACCCAGACTGGCCGTGAAGTCTCGCAGTTTCGATTCCAGCTCGCGCTTCTTCCCTTGTGATAGTCCGTGGTACTTGATTTCGAAGAGCTTGTCCTTGCGAAGCATATCGGGACCCTTCTGCTTATGCCGTTTCAATTCGTCCTTCAGCTTCTGGATCTCGACGGTCAAGTCGTCGATCACACTCCTGTACTCGTCGGCACTAGAGCTCTGCGCGGCAGCGAGGCGAGCCGGGGCAACCATGTGCTGGGGGTGCGGGATTCGTTCTTCGTTCGACGAATCGGTCTCGCGCTGGAAAAAGGGCGGGTCGACGTCCATGGCATGACTGTCGAATGTTGCTGTAGGGTTTTTATTAGATTGATCGAACCATTTGTTCGGGTCGCTCTGTCCCGTGGCAAAGCTGTCTCCTGAAGAATTCCTGCGGGAGGATGATGTGGTCTTGGATGACTGCTGGCCATTTTTAGAAGCAGCGCGCTGCGTCGCATCTCGCGCGATTCGGTGATGCTTCAGCGTAACTGAGTTGCCAGGCGATGTCCTTCGTGGAAGAGGGTGGCCTTGGCTCGAGAGCTGTGGTGGTGGTGGCGGATCCAGTCCTTCAGAGGGTTTCTCTGTATGGGACATCGTAGCATGTGTGGAAATAGATTGACATTCGGATTCCGCGCGTGGTCCACGGGAGGGAATCATAAGAAAAGAAAGAGTGCTTTCAGGGAAACCAAATGCACTCAGGTACCCATGACCCCAGCGCAGAGGGTCCGTGGGTAGATGGGCGCTGGGAGGGAGGTCGAGACCCTTGCTCGTGACGTATGGGGTGGGGCAGTAGCGCACAGATAGGTGTATACCCTTCTCACCTGCATAAATACGTCAATATCGCTAAAAACCCGTGCATGTAAGAGGGATATGTAGAAAACGGTACGCGGCAACCAAGATTCGGGCTCTATGATTGGCGGAGGACGGCAATGGCATCGATCGATCGGGGTGTCATCGCTGTGTGACGGAGGGCTTCCCACTGAAAGGTCGCACTCACCTGGTAGAACGAGTCGAGATCTTGATGATATCCGGCGACGGTTGTCAATTCCTGATCGCTTAGGGGTCTCAGACCGACGTCTTGCTGTAACGATGCGATTATCGCGCGTGCTGTACCAATGGATTCCACCTGGGTTTGATCTCGATTCCCGTGCTGCCGATTGCTTGGCGAATGTTTTGATCTGAGGATCTAATTGAAGCACGTCCAAAGTGGTGCCAAACGGCTGTCGCGACCTTGATTCCTCGCAGCCTGAGCGTGCCAGTGATATGGATCGTGTCTGGCTGGCCGTGTCGATATCGCACTCTTCCTCGACCCTTTCGGGCAAAGCCACTTGATTGTGCTGTTGCTTGTTGAATGGTCCGCACTGGCAAATTCTGGCGATCCGAGCAGCGATGATCGGTCGATGTGACAGGGCAAGGCTCGCGAGCACGGTGTATGCCTGTTGGGCGCTCCGTATCCTACTGCGAGGTGCTGCGACCCAGGCGGTTCTCCTTTCGAGCTCGTTTTCGTCCCAATCTCGGTGGACCTGGCACAGTGAGGCTACACGGGGTTGACGATGGTGAGGCGTCCCGGGATTCAGAGCTTGTCAAAGGTTGGGTTGGCCGGTTGGCGGAACCAGCAGGTTTGGTTCAAGTCGTATGTAGATGTGCGATTCTCGTATGTTTGTGTGGGCAACTGGAGGTGCAGCATGCGACGAGGGCCGTGTTTTCAGCCTTTTCGTGTGCCAGGCCTCACAAACCTGCAACGCCTGACTGACACTGACAGGAAGTCGAGTGCATGTACCGTGACCTTCCGATGCTCCAGCACCAGTTGAGATCCCGCTGTCAGCGAGAAAGCCACGGTGATCAGGGCCATCCCAGCCACTCATTTTCCACCCTCGCCCACAGCCTTAGACCCGCTCGTTCCAGGCCTGAAGCGCAGAACCGACGCTTTGGCTTAGCGGAGGCAGCGAGTACTTTGGCACCCTAATGTCCCCCTAATCCCTGCACCACAGGTCCACAGGGGGCCACTGAAGCGTTCGGTGGCCGACGAAGACTGCGAATGCCCTCTGTTTCCGAAGCCTTTGGCCCCTCGCGGATGCAATTTTGCCTCATGCGACATTCATTTTCCGATAGCTTGAATGCGGATTTCGGTGGCAAAAAATCAATTCACAGCTGTCCTACAGCTCCTCTGGTGGGACGTCGCGACACCATGCTGCGGGAAATGTCAGTCGAGACTCGAGACCAGAGTCGTGCGAGCAGCGGGCTGTTCATCTCACCGGCCATCCAGCTGCGTTTCTAACAATCTCATTTTTGCTGGTGCATCGACGCTCAACAAGGGCAGCGCAGCACCACAGTAACCACACCAAACGCCCCTGGTATCTCAACCATTGGCTACAAGCGTCTACATGTACTCCGTATCCGTACCAAAGGGGCATTTCGCCCAGGCGCAGGGGATCACGATGCTGCCTTCGTCGGAGGACTCCATTCCCATGCACGGCAGCACGATGGACCAGCCAGTGAATGCACCGCCAGACGAATCACGATAGCCGAACTTGAAAGCTGGACAGTGGGGATGTTCTACGTGTTGGCTAAATTGTTAATTATTGCTTGCAGGCGCTGCTACCCTAACGTAAGACGACTTGGCTAATGACTTGGCGGCTGCTAGGCGGAGGGGGAGATGCCGTGGTCGCTTGAAAGTGAAGGACAAGACTTGAGAGCTCAGGTATCCGCAAGGTTCGTCTTCCAACTTGTACAGAACAGTACAGCCAACAGCTATCACTGTCCATTGCAATTTGAATTACTTGCCTCCATGTTCGTGCGCGAATCTCCTTGCCCCTTTGGATCGGCGCTCACAGATCGCCAAGGGTCCGGTCAGGGTCCACCCCAAGATCGACACACCACTGTTTGCTTCGGGATATGATCTTCATCGCGGCTACAGGATTTTGTTGGCTTCAAGAACTGGACGCGCGAGGATGTCGGAGTCCCCATCCATAGGCTACCGAAGATCGTTAGATGATTTGTAGACGCTGCTTGGTGGTGGGATTCTTGTCCATCGAACGTTATATGCGGCATCGCCAGCTTTGGAGTTTGTGCAGCCGAGCTCTGGATTTGGCCACATCAAAGAATCGAAGATGCACATGACGACCCGAACAATTGCCCTTCACTCCTCAGCAGAGCAAGGAAGTGGGCGGTAAACGTCAAAGCGATCCGGCATTTTTATCAATGACGCTGGCATCACGATGAGGAGACTCGAGGTTTTCCTGGCTTGTGGAATTCTAGCCCGCATCTAGTTGATATCAAGGCCCAGTTGGCGAAGTTATACACACAGATGAAACCTCACAATACCTGAGTCCGCCAACTTGAATGATTGCTTGATGTAGACTGTTCAGAGCTCGCAGGCTGACTGACATTGTGCCATCACCTTGGGGTTCCACTCCAAAGGCCATTCAAGAACCAGAACGGGCATGACTGTCATGATGAGGAGGTCAACACACGCAATCCTTTTATTGCTTGCTAGGATCCCGCAATCGATCAATCTCTCGGAATTGTGCGAGCCTTTAGCAAGCGTTGACGATTGACCTGGATGGGTCGGCGTGGGCCATCGTGGCTATTCTCGTCCACGCCGCCTCGGAAATGCTGGTACGTAGCTTTTCCAAGTGGTCTAAATCCGCGTCGACCCTCCCTCAGCAACTGATTCAAGAAAGTCGCGCTCCCCCGCGATGCCGGTTCCTTGTTACATACGGATGTTCCCTGCCAGCGTTGACAGCTGAGACGTCTTGCATTACTCGCCATATGGCGCGATTGATCGGAGCTAATGATCATCATGTCTAATCAAGCCTGTCAGCATCGTCCAGCCAGTCTTCGCGGTGTTCCAGACTCGTCTATTTTGTACTGCGCTCTGTCTTTGGGTCACATTACGTGCGTATCTCGACGATGCTATGGCTCGATGCGAAGGTGGTTGAGTACGATTACGCTGCCCGCAGGTGTACCACTCATCCTGTTTGAGTTGCGATGCCGTCCAGGGGCTTTGCCAGTGACCTCCAAATGACCATGATGAGCCAGCCCAATTCCAGATAGATGAGCATGTAGCTGAAGGCGAGCATCCAGTCGGGTTTTGTTCGATCAGGCCCAGTGATGACCTTTGATGGCGCTGTTTGCGCCCGACGTAGCGAAGGGCGCTCGCTCATCTTGGGGGCCATGCTTGGGGCATCAGAGATACTCGCGGGTTTGAGATGGGATTGGAACATGGCGAATGCGAAGTAAGGTGCTGCAATTGATACTGTAGACGCGGTTTTTGTTTCTTGTTGTTTGGGCTAGGTCGACTGGCAACTAGCGAGGCACATTTGCTACAGTAGGTGGTGCGCATAGTGCAAAACGCACTGTGCTGTGGTGACTTTGGGTGCGCAACAAAACTTCACAAGTTGTCGCCGGAACACTACTTAACCAAACAGCAGCCCGGCAAACCAAGCAAGCACGGCTTCTTCCTGACAATAGCCACGGCAAGTCTACAACAGACCCGATCAACTCTCACGCAATCAACAGACCTGAAGCCCGGCAAACCAACCCTTTTATTCTCGATCATGGCCCAGGACTACCAGAACCCACTGGCATTGCCGAAGACGCTCACGCCAGACTCGCTCGACGTGCTCACGCACTTGTACACCATCCTCACCGAAGTACGCACGACACTACAGACGTCCACGGGCCTGGACCCCATGTCCAACGATGGCAAGAAGACCACATCGCCCACTGGCCTGTCGTTCAAGGACGTCGTTCGCGCCAGTGATGGTCTCCGACACAAGCTCCAGCGCGCGCGTGAGCAGGTTGGAAAACTTCCGGACATGCAACGCGGGACAGCCGAACAACAGACAGAGATCAAAGAGCTGGAGGCCAGAATAGAGAAACAGAGGGCGCTGCTGGAAAGGCTGCGCGAGGGAGGACTACAGTTCGGTCAGGATGGAGGGGAAAAGATGGAGATGTGAGATTTCGCGTCCAGCCCGTAGAGGAAGCGCGCAGGTGCCACGCGATGCGTCGACAACAATATGTGATTTGCGCTCTGCATCACGGAGTACGGTTAAGTTAATGCATCAACGGCACACAGAAGCAGCGCCCCAAGGTACAACGTCCAGCGATCCAGCTATCACTGTCAGGCTATGACCTCCTCAATGGAGTGATCGATCTCGACACCCGACGACGCGGTCAACGGAGGCCAACACTTGCCAAGGTCTCCTCGAGACTGGCGCCTGGTCGGCCGTGCATGACTCCAGCCCATACAGTATCCTCCAGCCTCTGGTTCTCCGGGATCACCGTCCAATTTGGATTCTCCCCGCCCTTGCGCCAGCTAAAGTCTTCAATGCGATCCCATCGGTTGGTTGTACCTTTGGGTGTGTCATTCGCCTAGTCAAAGAGGTCAGTGGAAGCCACATATTCTCCAGCTTCATCATTACTCACATAGATGGTAGGCAACGGGGCGAACCGCATTTCAGAGCAGCTCTCAATGACAGGATCGCTCGCGCAGAAAAGATAGATTCGCACATTTTTGCAGTCATGGATTCTCGCTTGTTGCGCCGTCAATACAACGATGCTGTCCTTGACGTTTGTGATATGCACCGAGCTGGACACGCGCCCTGCAATGACCAAACTGCCAGATATGTTCTTCAAGGCTAGGCTCGGCAATGGGGCGCCGTTGGTAGGAACAGACATATCGACAATGCAGCCCTCCAGATCCTGAAGACTCCCGGCAGCAGTGGCGCGCGATGCTGAGAGAGGGAGGATAATGTGCAAACCTTTTTGCTTCGATATCTCAATGGTGTCAACGGTAGAAAAACTTGGTTTCCGAACTTGCGAATCGCTGGGCTGCGCCATTTCCTGATTGTAGTCCTTGCCTGGGGTACTGATTGCATGGCCTGGTTGCTCCTGTGATCTCAGTGCTGTGACTCTGGCCTGGCTCGTGGGCTGAACGCCTGGGTTGTATCGCGGGTCATTCTGGACAGCACCCATGTCGACATGTTTGGTCTTTGGCCTGAACTTGAATCTCGACGGTTTCGCATCCTGTTCGAGTTTGGACCGGCGCAGCTCTACGGCCGCTTCGAAGGCCTGCCGTAGACGAGCGAGGTCTTCCACCCGCTGTTTCTTGACAAAGTCGTTCTTGTGGTCAGCGAAGAAATCATTTGTCATGCCCTGCAGCTTGTTTCGTTTGGCGAGAATGGTCTCCTTTGCACCCTCGTACTCCTCTTGGGACTTGGACGGTAAGAGGGCAATCTCATCTTTGATATCTTGTCGTGCATTGTCAGACCCTGCATTGAGCAGCGTGGGAACATGACTGACCTGTCTCCTGGAGAGAGAACTGTAGACGAAATTCATCCGTAGGGTCCATTATTCTGGCTTTGTAGAGAGCCTTTGGTCCTGCCAAAGGATGAGATGCCCAAGCGGGCTGAACCTGAATCGGAGTCTCCATGTTAACAATCTCGTTTGCGGAACGGGCAAGTTTGACCACGCATGTGCTGTGGAAGGAATCCGTGTTGAATTTATAAGTGCGGAATCTACTTACAGCCGAGCCGTGAATGGGAGGATCTGTAGTATGACGAGCAGACCGTAGACGGTACGACCTCACTTGGTGATTGACGTCAAGTAGCGTCCCACAGCTGGCGTGGTCCAACAGGTCTGACCCCGCAAATTGAGGGCGGCGCCCGAGATGAAGGGCTCGCGACGTTGGACTTCGTGAAGCTGGTTGCCGCTTTGGTGGCGTAGTGGTGGTGTGATCGGGTTGCTTGACGTAGACTGCTGAGAATGCGGGGTTGGTGAAGGGCGGAAAGGGGGGCGTCTGCCTCAGTGGACTACTCGAGTCAGCGCGGAGCTGATTACGCGAAAGTATCTGTCTAGATGACCTACGATCCAGTCAGTGTTGGCTTGCGAGACTATGTGTAAATATCCCAAATCTCAAGGGATTGTAGGAGCACATCCTGGTAAACTATGTGCATGTGCGGTGGAGACTGGAGTGGGACCCGAAGAAGCTACTGTGATTTGGAGATTTTTGGGCGCGCTCTCAAACTGTCCATATTCACACCATCAATATTGTGTGATGACGCCCCTCAGCAGACATTAATTAGAACACGCAGGCCGAAAAAGATCGAAAAGTAATATCGCGTCGTCGAAAGTCTAGCGTATTCTGTGGCAGTGGCTTTACTGTTCATGAACTCCTATCGACACTATTTCGAACCACAGACCTCAGCTTCCGAAACACTCCACCACAGCTCCCGAACAAAACAATCTATTGCTGAAATGCGTGCTGTCTTGATTTTATCAAAGAGATGTGATCAAAATATGATTGTCTTGATCGCAAACTCGCCGACTGCATCCACAAGGCTCGCCGAATGACCTCTTCACCCAAGCATGTTGAAAGACCCACCCAAGATCAATATCGTCCAGTGCCCAGGCTCAATACTGTTGATGGCTGGGACGACTCATCGGAGGATGAATGGATATAATTTATGCCGATTTTTGGCTGACAGTGGCATGGTCGTCAGCTACCAGGGACTTGCCACAGGACAGTGGCGGCACCAACGACCCTAGTGAGTTATGTTCGTGGCTGATTTCGACGACCCCATTTCGACTAGCTTTCGTGCTCTCCTGGTGTCGTGGACGACAAGATGAACTGCGAAGTATCTAGTGTTGTGTCTTATGTGATCCCGTGAATGAACTGCACTTCAAACTTCAGGGCAAACTCTCAGAAGCAGCCCTGAGCCAGGACACAGGGAAACGATGGGGCTAGCTTTACTAAGAAGTCAAGAAATAACAGAATTTGAGGCATCCAATTCCACAAGGATTGAGGTTCTATGCTGAATTGTGACGACAATGGCGTGGATGGCTGGTGACTGGAGCTAGTAAGCAGCAAACAGCCGCGCTCTGGGAACTTGCCAGCAGATGCTGACTTTTGAGACAGACTGCGTGTTCCAGAGTCAAAATGGGAGAGACACTAGGCAGGATAGAGTGGAAATTTTACCGTATATGATGCCGTGGTGTTTCTGACTGTTCTTGACTATTTGAACAACTAGTCCCGGGGGGGGGATGTCTGGAATAGATGGACAGTTCGTGCGGAACTCCCCAAACTCGGTGAACGAATTCCATTTATTGAAGCAATGCCACAAATAAATACAATTCAAATTATTGAGTGACTTCATTCTTGTCACTGTTCGCCGGTCCAAAACGAGTACGGGTTGCCCACAGGCAACGAAGTGATGTGCGACAATGCAACCATCCAAAGCGCTGCACATATGGGATCAAATTGTGTTCGGTTGTTCAGATTTTCTAGAGCTTGAAGCAGATTATAGATACTTATGAAGATGGCATTGTTATGTTCTGGCGCGTGCCGTAACTGTTTGCGTCGTCTCAACTCGACCTGACCCAACCTAGAACAACAAACAGCCCCCAGGGACTACTCTTCCCTCCTCAAGCACAAGTAACCAAACTCCTTGCACCTTAAATTGTGGAAGAAATGAACTTCAATACGAACCTCTAAATCTCTCTCAATACTCCTACAAGACCCGCAGCCTTGTCTTCACGACCCTTTGCTTCTGATACAATTATCCAGCCCCGGATCTTCCCCTGAACAAGATGGCCCAGATCGCCTTCAATGTACCGCGCGGAGGCGACCCCAAGGAAGTCTACGCAAAACAGACTATGCTAGCCAAGATGAGGCGCAATACTGCCCTGAAGGCTGTGCACGATGATGAGCGCCTTCTGCAATGGATTAACAAACATCACAATGAGGTATGTCAATCCAGGAGCAGCCGCAAGTACAGGGAAGACTGACACTTTCTTAGATTGAAATACCTGGTGAACCCACCCACCCTTACAACTTGCGCTCAAAGAATAAGAAGCCTTGAAACGTTACGGAATCGCCTTAAGCAAGCATTCACATCAACGACACAGGGTGGTGACGAGCACTACATGGACGAACGACGCAGGTGATAAGGAGACGGAGCACAGGTAAGGAAAAATGATGAGCAAGGTGTTTTGAGCACATAAACATGTATCCGTCGACAAACTCAATGCAAATAGCATGACAGGCAAATGAAGACCGGTTGGAAGATGGCATGATGTCCACGAAGACTGCAAGTCTCCAACAAAAGGAAAATGGTCCACTACGACTTTGTCAATTGCGCACACAAACTCGTCGGGTTGGCTGTGCCATCCTAGCGGGCTGATTTCTATTTGCTCTTTCATGTCTGAGGCTCAGACCGTGATATGTATGTTTTGGCTCACTCCTGAGCACCTTCGCCCTCGCGTTATGCCGTCTCCAACTCTCGAAGGCTTTGTAATCTCAATATTCTTTATGGGGTCGTTGGTTCATGTAGAAGCTACATTTTATCATCATCAAATTTATCGGTTTCATCGTCTGTCAAGCATGCAATCGCCTTTCCCTTGCCTTTTGCGTCCTTTGGCGCACGCTGGCGCTTGCGAGCCCTTGCGGCGGTGTCGTCGGTTGCCAGGGGACGTTTTGCGCCGTCCTCATTGTCCAATGTAGCTGCAGTATTCGAAATCTTGCTTAGACCAACTTTCAGGACTAATTGTCGTGTTGACGGCCCGCTGAACCCGCTTCTTACCCAAGGCAGTGCTCTTCTTGCCCTTGAGCGCCGGATTCTCCTGTCTGCCACGCTGAGAGGCAGTGCACTTCTCGATCGGAGGATAGCCGTCATTGTGTTGTCCGTTGAAAAATGCCGCATAGTGTTTGGTCTGGCGAACGAGTTGTCTTTTGTCATCGTTGACATGGGCTTTGAACTCTTCAAGGTAGTCGGGCAGCGGGACTGGCTCCATCGGCTTCGTTTTCGTTCGTAAAGATTCAAGTCTAGCCATCGGGTCGACGGTCGCGCTTCGAAGGATACAAGGGAGACTCAGGGAGGAGCTAGAGCATGGTACGGCGCGTGCGAGAGATTCTGCATCTATGCTATTGATTCAGTCAGCAGGCCTATGCGAAGGTTGCGTTTGATGTGAGAAACTACGTCGCGATGCACTTTCCTCGATGTCGCTGTCCGTACATTTTGATCTTTCGGATGCTGACGATCAATGAAAAACAGTATCCCAAAGCTCGCCCCTCAAACCTGTTGTCCATGTTGAAGTGCAACCGGCTCGACGAACACGTAGTTCCATTCAGGGGTCGCCACACTGAATCCGCGGTGCGTGCAACTCCCCGAGACTGTTCTGCAATGTTCCAACGAAGCTATGCCAAGAACGTGCGCGTGAATATCGCTCATAGAAAACTTCAAAGCTTGACTGCCTTGTAGCAAGGGTACCTGGCGGTCGTTCGTATGTGCGCAGTACAAGGCTAGTTAGTTCCCCCTGAACACTTGAATTTTCCGGGACTCACCGAGCTTTCGTCGAAGTAGCCGTCGCGAACGCTTTAGAACGCTATCATGGATGTTAATGGCTGGTTGGAAGTTCGCAAAAATGAGTGTCGACATAAAGGGTCTGCGCATGGGACTTGGAATCAGCATTTGAGTGAAGGTATTGGGCCATGCATGCAACGCGAACAGACGACTTCTATCTCAGCAATGGCATCGACGCTCTCGATAACTCAATGTCTATGAAAGAAAAATCGATTAAACGTTCTATATAGGATACACCAGCGGAGGAAAACCATTATTTATGCTAGAGATTTTAGGCGATGCCATCCCAAGCCGTGTTCCATACAGGTATACATTTGTGATGTCCGGCGGCTGGCTCAGCTCAACGTCACCAACACTGCTTGCCAGCGCGTCGTAGCAAGCACTTGTCGTAAATTTTATTTCCGATCACTCCACGCCAGATACTTGATAATTACTTCAAACGAGATCCAGGCATATAAAATGTCCTCAAATTGAAGCACAATGCCTCGCGTTGCTCGAGGACTTCAAAGGGGACAGCGGCCGGGTGCGTACGGGGGGCAGCGAACAATGCCCCTCGAAGGCTCTTCGAAGCAGAGCACGTCCCTGGTACGTTTTTGCATTAAGAATCTCTTCTTTCCATGATCTACACAATATCTGACAATGTCAGAATCCGCGGGACGTTAAATTGAACGCGACCACAGCACGCGCGCTGACCGCAAATACCAATGCCAACTTGGTAGCAGAAGCCGCCTCCTCCCAACATGCTGTAGGGAACCCGAACCGTGGGCCAACAGATACCGAAACCAATCAAATTGAACCACGAAGAGTTTTTGAAGAACCTGCTGGAAATTTTGACGATAATTCATTGCCCCTACTGGTCGATGATATTGACGCTGCAAAGAACCGTGGACTCACGAACACGTATTCAACAACGCCACAGCCGCTGACTGAAGCTCAACTGTTCAAGATTGTGTGGTAGTGTAACCAATGTGTGAGCATTAGAGGCCCCGGGAAATTGAGCTTGACGCCCGAGCCGCAGCTCGAGAGCATTTATCAGACAGCCAAGTACAGGGACGGCTATACAGGCCAGGATTTGGACATCACTTCGCATAAGAATCCTGAGTTCGCACCCGAAGATTAAGAAGGTTGGATGTCAAGGAGTTTTGGAGAAATGTCTACAGGAAATTGCGCGGATGATGTCCAGAGATGAAGAGAATGTCAAACTACACATAGCACAAATTTCAGAGTCATCAACAAGTGGACTCAACTTATGATACTGCTGCCATTGTTCCTTCGTCAGCTTTTGTTAGTCTCACTGTTGAATTGAAGCACTTCTGCGTATTTTGCCACGCCCAGTTGTTCGACTGGTGTTTACAAATTCCAGTGTCCTTGAACAGAACTAGACGAGTGCTGTGGATTTAGTCACTGCAGCGCTGGTTCAACTTTCAGTTGAAATTATTGGCTCATCTTTCCCAGCCGCTTCCAAGTTGACCTTGTTTGTCTTTCTCCTCTGAGTCCCATCACTTCACTCTGACCAGACACCACCATCTACGTCTTAGCCACCTTACTTCTCGAACAACACCTTCACAACAACAATCAATCCATCTAGACAAACTCACAATGTCTAAATCTGTCTTCATTTACGATACGGAAGAGGAAACTCAACTGGCCAAGCACCTCCAAGAAGTCACCCCCCCCTCCTGGCAACGGCTTCCCTCTGAGCATTGATCAGCTAACGTGGCCACAGCACCAGCAACTCTCAGCCGACCACCTCAAGCTCAGCGAGCAGGTTTTCCAACGCGACCAACAACTCGTCAGCGAAACCTATCAACGTTACGTTGCTTTCCTGAAGCTTTGTGGGCCGGAAGACAAAAACCCCCCCGTCATGTTTTGGCTGGCCTACCTGAGCACCGACGAATTCAAGGCCCAGACCGCCGAAATCGACAAGATGAAGGCGGACGTGGACAAATTGATGGGCGAATGCATAAGAATCTACAATGAAAAGATCAAGGTCCTCAAGGAGACCCTTGGCGAGAAAGCGTAAGTACCTAGCCGCCTCCTCATTTTTGGCATTTTGTCTGCATGCTTTTATTAACTTTCGAAGCATTCCCGTCTTCTACCAGGAGCACCAGTTCGCCGAGATTTGGCTCGCGTGAGCTGGCTGGACGTGAGCACTTTCTATCTCTAAAACAAGGCTCATCCATGTAGAGATCCACTGGAGGTCAAGAGCAGTGGAACAGGAGATCTTTGCTGATGATGTTTTGGAAGTACTTGGCCGGAGTATAATGAGTCATGAAGCCAATGAATCACGCACTGTAATCAACCCCAACAGAACCATTCTCGTGATCCCAACCACATCGTGGTTTCATCCAAGAGTTCGCGTGAGAGTGGCCGTAGCCTTGAGGGCTGTTGTGAGGTATCCTGGGCAGCCTGTTTCACACATCATCATCACAGAGGGCACCATGTTGCAACTTGTTCTGCCACCCATCCGTCTCCGACATGCAACGTCACTGTAATGAACACGAAGCTGGCTCTGAGATCCAAACAACGGCGGCGATCTGTCGAACTGACCCAGTGTTCAAGACAGCTGACCATGCATGACCAAGCCGAGAGATCAAGTCACCAGCTCCGAGAAAGGGGCAGCAATGTCAGAATCCCATTCTTGTCGTATCTTTCCGCAACCAATTTGGGAGGTCGACCAAAGCAGGCTCTGGCACACTGTTAATTGGCCCGTTCCCCCTTTCGCGGCATCTTTTCCACCAAGACTTCAACGGCAATCAATCCCCAGTCTCCCGTTTCAAAATTGATCATTGGACCGCGTAGCTGTGGTTACCAAGGACGCTACTGCACCATAGGCGAGTTTGCATAGAAAACCTGCTGCGTAGCCAAGATATGAGACGAAAATGCATCCAATCGAGAGAAACTGCTCAAAAGCTTCCTGAGGTTGGCGGCGACTTCCGGATTTCAAGCAATCCGAGGAGCGCTGTCCAGGGTAGTCGATAGCTCCAGGAACCTTGACCGGGAAGGCACGATTTGATTACCAAGTAATATGGGGTTTGGGCGGTCTTGGCTGGGGAACTGGGAAGGGGCCCTGCCGGCACCCACTTGCCTCCAGCTGGCCGCTCGATCATTGGGCCTTTTTTTCCTACAGGCCTGTCGCTCACCATTGAACTCCTCAACTCGTATCAAAGACGCGACAACCACCCGTCGAAGCGACCCTGCGCGCGCAGCTCCTGTCTCATTTCCGTGCCAGGCGTGCGACATGTCCTTCCCGAACTTTGAGCAGCCGTATCCGCAGCCCACGTCCCAGACTGTCCTCCCTCAGATACAAGACGGGCCCTCGCGCGTCTCGGGAACCAAGCGTTCAGCCCTCGGCTCCTTTGGCGACTCCACGCACGCCCGCCACAGCCTGACATCTGCTGAGTCACCCAGCGTGTCGATAGCTTCGTCCGCCTCTCCGGCCAATGTTCTGCCCAATGGATCGGCGGCTGAGAACCAGTACACTTCCGGCAATGCCAGCGGCTCGCCAGCCACCAAGCGCTTTCAAGTGCCCCGAGCCTGTGAGCGCTGCAAACGTCTTCGTCGCGGCTGCAGCGAGTATCGGCCATGCCGAAGATGTGTTGATGCTGGGGTCGCGGACCAGTGTCAGGTCATGGCAGTAGGGCCTCAAATGAACGGCCCTGGGACAGGTAACGATGCTCAATCGCTTCACCAGCGGCTGTCGGATCTCGTACCCGCACGACTGGTCGACTACTGCACGCAGCGCTTTTTTGACCGACTTCACCCTACGATACCCATTCTCACGATGGAGTACGTAGCCCGGCTCAGGGCCGCAAGTATCTCTCCCGGAGGGCTGGAGTCCTTGGCGGTGCTAGTGGGAATGTGCGGGCAAGTCTTGTTGCAGACCGAAGAACCGGAGGAGCTGTTCCAGCAGGGCGTCATTCCAGAGAAGAACCTTGCCTTCGGGCGGTTGTTACTCGATACAGCCATTGCAGCGTACCAGGGCATGCCCCGCCGGTCGGTCGTGAGCATTGAGGTGTGCATGTTTAGCTTCTTTCTGTACGCGTGCGAAGCGGTGCTCTTCCATCATAGCCGGGCATTTCGGTTCCTTAGAGAGACTACGACGCTGGTCCTGCTCTTTAGACCCGAGGAAGCCGACGACACGACACAACTCGTGGCCAACCGGCTGTTTTGGGTGCTCTTGATCTCGGAGCGATCGCATGCGATTAGGTACCGACGGCCGATCACACTGCAGATCACAAACGCAACACCAAGTATCGACGCCGGCGACTCGTCGCTAGTGGGATTCTGGAGCCTCGCGGCCCTGTTCAGACCGATCGACACTTCCTTCATCGCGCTTCTCAACCACGAGGAGCTGGCTATTGGGCCCTCACCAGAGTCGATCAATCACATTGAGACCAAGGTCAACTCGGCGCTGAGTCCAGGTCTCGACCTACGCGATACGCAAAAGGCCAATCTGAGGGTGACACAGCTATGGCTGCGGGTGATCATTTGGCAGCTGCGCCTGCACCTTGGATACTTGGTGGAAGAATCGTATCAACACAGCCTCACCTACCGCTACCCCATTGACGTGGCCAAAGATCTCATGTTGTCGACGCGAGATCTGTCTCCGCCGGCATTCAAGGTGCACGGCGTGGGGTTGACCGAGAAGCTGTTTGACATAGCGTCTGCACTCGTGGATGTGTTGGCTCGGATCCCCCTCAGCTCGACGTCTCCCCGCGGTGTCGCGATGGGGACCTTGCCAGAAGATGATTTGCTCTACCTGCGAAATCTGATACGGAAGCTGCCTGGAGGCCAGACCATGTTTGATGACCTTTTGGAGAAGCACATCCAGCAGAGCGTGCCGGCGCTGGTGACATGGCGTCCGGATATTTCCTCTTCAAGCACCCTGGATGCACGAGGGCAGTTGGGAACGCGAGGCGGGCATTGAAGATGCCCGTCTGGACGGGGCTGCAACACCCTGATGCGTTAGGGTTCAGCTCGCATTGCCGAGGAAAAGATTCGACCAGGGTCGAATCGTTTGGCCTGAAGACGCCATTTAAACTTCGCAACCAGTGCGAGGCAAGGCAGCATGACCTCGATCAACGGTCCAGTATAAGTCGACTCGGATGCAGGGAAGCATAGCCTGGATCAACGGTCTACTACGACAGCCTCCACCGTCTCGGCGTCGAGCGGAGAAGAATGCTGCGCCGATCAAAGCAAACCCACTTGCGCGACATCCTTAGAAGTGCGGAGAGGCTTTGAAAGTCAGGCGGCAACGACAATGGCAGGTTCGCAACACCTGGAGGCCATCATTCGGTGCCAAAGTCGCTTCGCTGAAGCCAGAGCGAGGCTTTGCATTGGAGTCGCTCGACTCCTCGGAACGTCCTGTGGAAGAGCTCCTGTCAATGTTCGCGTCCGTGGAGCTGCGGCCAGGTGAGCCTGCTACATGAAATGCTGGAAAAATCCCATCAGCAGAGCCGGTGTCCTCATTGCCTGGCCCCGTCGGCAGAGCCAGCTTGTTCGTCTCCACACGGCTCTGCTCCCACAATCAACGCCAACGGATTATGCGTAGGTCTCAATCAACAGATTCACAGACGCACTAATTAGAACGCGATGCTACCCAAGCAGCCACTCCACGTGGCCCTGACTCGGCTGCGTTCCGAAGCTCGGAACCAGAAGCTTGAAGTATTTCTGCCCACCAGTGACCAGCCAGGCTCTGTGCCATGGCCAAGAATACTCGGTTGTTCAGGTTGACAGCTGGCGCTATGTTCAGTTGGCCAGGACATAGACACCCCTGGACTAAACTAAAGCATTGATCAGCTACGTGAGCAAGCATTCGCCGTTTCAGGAGGTTGCTGATTCCATGTGCTTTCGTGTGAGAGAGCCGCTTGGCTGGCTGGCCTGGAATGCCAACATGTTGGCGAATTCATCAGTTGGCCAAGCCTTTGTGGCATAGTAATTTCCGCTGGGCTTCTCCCGCCTCGCCTCACTGAGTCGCACACTCACGAGTCACGCCAAGCGGGAGAGAAAGCCAGGCTTATGGGGGATGACGGGGTGGACTCGCCAAGTCGTTCGACCAGCCGCTTATTGACTCAGCACGACTTTTTACCCCCCCAATGATCAAGTCGACGCACATGGGGATTTGTGACGTTCGCAAGACTGCGCATGCATTGCGGGCCCGAGGAGCAATATAGCCTAATAGGCACTGCACGCCCGACGCAGCTGGATCGCCCGGCAACAAACCTCGCGCCGGCTTCGGTTTAAGCATATGCACAGTGCAGCAAGCCCCCCCTGCACTTTGCAAATGCACGAGCGGCCGGCTGCCTGACCAAGCTCGACTGACGTCAGTAGGATGAAGCGCAAGATAACGGTGACACTGTGCCCCCGGACGCGCAGTCATGGACGAGCAACAAATTGGAAACAAGTTGAAGAAGCGCGCCATGGAGATGAGTCTGCAACAATCTGCAAATCCCCGTGCCACGGTGCAGATGGATCGCTGTCGACAGCCAAGACTCGAGGCGACTTTTCTCAGCAGAGCGTGCCGTCATCGCCTTGGCTAGCCAGCCATAGCGTGGAACGGAGAGAGAAGATGGATCGAAGCACTAGTCAGTGCCACCCACCTGACTGCAGCAGCCGCCAGCAATCAATTGGCGCGGCAGACGTCGTGGCCCCACCGCACGCCAGAGTCGCGACAGTCGTCCCCGGAGGCCCCAGACGCCAGGCAGCGATATCCATTCTTGGCAGCTCACCTGCCGATCATCGACCGTCTCCCAGGCTGGCGCCGGCCGTCAGTGTGTTTCGGTGGATAATATGGAGTGAATGCCGCCTTCCAAACTCGATGCTGATACGTGCGCTTGTTATTCTCTTAGCCTTGTCCACGGGGCCCCGTAGAGAACCTACCCCAGAACACAGAGTGAGGAGCCCCCATGGGACAGAGAGACGGAATATAAAATGACGACGCGCGCGGGCATCGCGACAGCCAACATTCCTCACTCGTTGCAGAGCATCATCAGCTTCCCCAGCAAGAAGCCCATCATGTATCGCATCTGGAACGTCTACGTGCTGGCCGCCTTTGGCACCATTGGCGGCATGCTTTTTGGTTTCGAGGTGTCGTCCATGAGCGCCTGGATTGGCAGTGACCAGTACCGCGCCTACTTCAACGACCCGGACAGCACAACACAGGGCGGCATCACCGCCTCCATGTCTGGTGGTTCCCTCGTCGGTGCCCTCGTCGCCGGTCAAATCGCCGACATGCTCGGCCGCAAAATCGCCCTCCAGATCGCGTCTGTCATCTGGATCATCGGCGCCGTCCTGCAGTGCTCGTCCCAGAACATTGGACACCTCATTGCCGGCCGCATCGTGGGCGGTTTGGCCATCGGTATCACATCCTCGCAGTGTCTCGTCTACCTCGCCGAGCTGGCCCCGGCCAAGACGCGCGGCCGCATCACGGGTATTCAGCAGTGGTCCATTGAATGGGGCATCCTGATCATGTACCTCATCTCGTACGGGTGCGTGCGTGGCGTGTCCGGCCCTGCTGCGTTTCGCATCGCCTGGGGCATCCAGGCCGTGCCCGGCTTCATCCTCTTCGCCGTGCTCTTCCTCTTCCCCGAGTCGCCGCGCTGGCTGGCCAACAAGGACCGCTGGGAGGAGTGCCACGACATTTTGGCCAATCTCCACGCCAAGGGCGACCGCAGCAATGTGCTCGTGCTCGCCGAGCTCGACGAGGTCCGCGAGGCGGTCCGCATCGCCAACGAGAGCAAGGACATTGGCTACCTGGGTCTCTTCGCGCCGGGCGTGTGGAAGAGGACGCTGGTGGGCGTCAGCGTGCAGGTCTGGCAGCAGCTCCTGGGCGGCAACGTGATGCTGTACTACCTCGTCTACATCTTCAACATGGCGGGCATGTACGGCAACATTGCCCTGACGTCGTCCATCATCCAGTACGTCATCTTCCTGGTCACCACGGGCGCCGTCCTGCCCGTCATCGACCGCGTTGGCCGCCGCAACCTGCTCCTCGTGGGCGCCGTCATCTGCGCCGCCCTGCACTTTGCGACGGGCGCCGTCATGGCCGTGCACGGCAACCCCGTCACCAACGTGGACGGCAACTACAACCTCAAGTGGTCCATCACGGGCGCGCCGGCCAAGGGGGTCATCGCCATGTGCTACATCTTTGTCGGCGTCTACGGCCTCACCTGGGCGCCGGGTGCCTGGATCTACGCGGCCGAGGTGTTCCCCCTGCGGTACCGCGCCAAGGGTGTCGGTCTCGCGGCGGCTGGCAACTGGGCCTTCAACCTGGCCCTCGCCTTCTTCGTGCCGCCCGCTTTCACCAACATCCAGTGGAAGACGTACATGATCTTTGGCGCCTTTTGCATCGCCATGACCTTCCACATCTTCTTCACCTACCCGGAGACGGTCAAGAAGTCGCTCGAGGAGATTGACACCATTTTTGACGAGAACCTGCCGCCCTGGAAGTCGGCCCAGGTCGGTGGGTTTGACAAGAAGGTGGCGTCCATGGCGGCGGGCAAGGACGGTCCCGAGGCCTCCCAGACGGAGACGGTCTAGGCGTGCTGGGGCGTGTATAGTAAGCGAGGGAGATACACCTTGCTTTGTTGTGATGATAGGAGTAGATACCCTTTGAATGTCAAACACATTGGACATGTTGTCATTACGGGCAGTGACACGGTTGAGGCTTGCTTGGTCCAGGGATTCATTCATTCACATACTTTGCTGTGATCGCCTATTTAATAACGACTAGTATTGATAAAATTTGCCGCCCAGGATTTCGACTTTGATGCGACACCCCCAATTGCAATACCGAGTTGGCTGTCACGTTGGCCGAGGGGCGGACGACGAGAAAACCCGCCGCCTTCTCCGAGTCATCTATCTTCATGTCCTCTACATCATCACCCGCATTCAGTCACCTCCACGTCGACATCATGCCTCCCGTCGACACACTCTCCAGCTGGGGCATAGTGGCCCTCTCCATTGCCTGCAACACCCTCGTTTTCCAGACCACGCGCAGTCCGAGCACAAAGTCCTCCGCGACCGCGGCCTCGGGCCATGTGAGGGCCATCTCTGCCAGCCACGGCATCCTAGTCACCATCCTCTCCATCATCGCTCTCCGCCAGGAACACTGGCAGCTGCCGCATGCAGACCCCGTCCCGCCGCGCGACGTCGTCGACGGAGACGGGAACCTGGATGACGCGGCCAACCCGATGATCCAGGGCCGCAGCCGACTCGCTAACATGATCACGTCCTGGGAGGCGGGCTACCTCGTCTACGACACGTGGGCCATGGCCTACGCCCTCCCCAAGGCCGTGGGACGCAGCGCGCGCCCGTCGCCTGTCATGATCACGCACCACGCCCTCATCGGCGCCGGACTGCTGTACCTCCAGCTCTACGTTGCGCGGGGTAACGAGCGCGGCGTGCGGGTCATTCTGGGACTTCTCTTGATGAACGCGTCCAATCCTCTGCTGCACGCTCGATGGTGGGCTCGGAAGACGGGTATACAGTCCAAGTTCCTGGATGCTGCGTTCTTGGTCGCGTTCGCTGGTGTGAGGTTTGGCAGCGTCGCCTGGATACTACAGCAGTACGGCGCGTATCACCGCCTAGGTCTGGTGGACGCTTTCGGGCGCTTGAGGACGCCTTGTAAGGCGGGAACGGCGAGTCTTGTTGGGCTCAATGGCGCATGGTGGATATGGATGTGCAAGAACTTTGCGCAGCGCTGCTTGGAGAAGAAGAGGAAGAAGAAGCGAATTTGAAGGCAGCTTCTGCATTTACTTCTATTCATCGTCTAATAACCCGTCTATATCCTATCCGTCACCTCTCGTCAACTATCTACACACCTCCCAGAGCCTATCCCACCAGCAGAAGAAAGGCTCCAGCCCGCCGCCCCCGCCGGCGTGATGCTTCATATGCGTCCTGGCACCGCCCGCCCATCCTTGTGGCAGGACCTTGTCGTACCCCCAGGGCAAGTCCATGCCACTATGAATCTCGACGAGCAGCCAGACAAAGACGGGCACAAAGAGGGTACGCGTCAACACATGGCTGCCAATAATGTTGAGGCTGAAATTGGCGAGCAGCACGAGACCCAGACGCTCAAAGACGGAGAGCTGATTCGTGACCTGGGGATGGATCCCCGTATCGTGGGAGTGGTGCGGGGCGTGCCAGCGGCGCAGGGGACGTATCTGGTGCAGGGAGAGGTGGAAGGCGAAGAAGAGGGTGTCGTAGATGAGGAAGCTCGCCATGAGCTCCGTGGCAAGTCGGCGCGAGGAGGGCGCGTCGGGCGGTAGGGCGCGGACGAGCTGGAGAGGCGACGAGGCGGTGAAGTTGTGCAGCGTGGGTAGGAGGAAGGACTTGCTGGGAAGCGAGGCGTTGGCGGCGAGAAGGACGTGGTCGTCTGGCGGGGCGAGGAGGGCGTGGGCGTCGTAGTTGCCCGAGGACAAGATATCAGCCAGCGGCACGTCGGCGAACTTTTTGATCATGGTGAGATCCATGGTCAGGAGAGGCGCGATATAGAGCAGAATTTCGCCTATCCGACGAGACGGGCGGCGCATGCCCTTTGGTTTGGCTCGGGCCTTTGATGATGGTGAAGGAGATAGGCGCCATTCTGGATGGCGGAGGAAGACAATGGTCATGGACACTTCAATGGCGGCGTAGCAGAAGACGGTCCAGATGGTCTCAAAGGTCGACCAGTTGTAGAAGCTTGAATATCGGAGGGTCGACCATGTTGAGTCTAGAAAGGGCTGGTAGAGCGATGGGAAGAGAAGCGAGGTCAGGAGCACCGGTGCCAGGATCGCCCTGATCGTCTGGGCCGGGCTGAACATTGCGAGAAGATGATGAGAGAATGTAGGATCTGGACTCTGAGCATAAAACCATCCAGAACGTGATCTCATTAAAGTAATTATGTCGCGTTGACGTTGGTGACGACGATGATGGCGCATGGGAGAGCTGAGCCTGCGGGCCGCTGTCTATGAGGTCAGGACTTCAGTCCCGCAGTGGGCGCAGGGGCTGTCCCGCTATACGTACAGGGACCAACATGCTGTAAATGATTCCATATGGTGCAGTAGCGCCATCGCAGGCCCCAGTCAGGCTCCGCCATGCGCTGTTATGCACGAGGTATCTCTACGCCAAATTCTCTGTGAGAAGACACCTGCCCCATAACGCTACTGCAGGACACCAGTCTCTTCAACACGACGGCTTATGGAAGATCTTGAGTTTCAACTTAGCCTCATCTCACATCCAGTCATCAAGCCGCCAACATGCTCGACATTACACTCCGTCCCCTCAAAGACAATGTCTTCGCGCCCCTCTCACGCTCCGTGCCAGCGTCCATCACGCCAGTCCACATCACCGCGGCTGCCTTCGTAGCCGGCCTCGTGTCGTGCCTCTTTGCCTGCGCCGGGCACCGCACGCCGAGTCTCATTTTCTGGGCTGCGAACCGTGCTCTCGATTGCCTAGACGGCGCCGTCGCCCGTCATCGCGACCAGCAGACCGTCCTGGGCGGCTTCCTGGACCTGCTGGGAGACTTTATCGTCTACGCCCTCGTGCCCATTGCCTGTGTGGTGGGGAACGGCTGGAGTGGACAGCAGACGCCGGGTCTGGCCGTGGCCCTGCTGGAGGCTTCTTTCTGGATCAACAATTTTGTGCTGCTTTATATTGCCGCGCTGGTCGAGAAGGGTAAGGATGAGCTCACCAGCCTGGCCATGAGGCCTGCGCTCATCGAAGGGTTTGAGAGTGCCGTCTTCTTCACGCTCATGCTGGGCATGCCCTGTCTTGTCGGGGTCCTTTCGGCTGTCATGTTTGTGGGTGTCGTCTTTGGGACCGGGCAGAGGGTGCGATGGGTCGTGTTGGCCCTGTCACGGACAGAGGAGACGGCGGGGATGAAGAGGAAGAAGAGGTAGCAGGACTAGAATTGAGCGGGACATGCCTTTGACTAGTACGACTATCACCATCACAGCACATTCTTCGCCTTGAGCTCCTGTAGGAACAATTGCGCATCGCCGTTGCACTTGCCCAGCTCGGACCTGTCCATGATCACTTGCAGCTTTCCATCCGACTCGCACAGCACGACGGGATACGCAAGCTTCTCCGTCTCCACGAATGACTTGACCTGATTTTGCGTCAGTCGGGTCAGTCGGAATAGCTGGCACAAACAGGAAGACCAACCTCGGGCGACAGCTCGTCGCGGTGCCATTGGATCACCCGAACATCCGGGGTCGACTCAATCTCCTTCTTGACAGCGACCCAGGACGGCGTCTCTTTGAGCGATAGGCCGCCGTGGGTAATGTCACATGCCGCGCAGACCTGCTCGCTGTCTTTGGGGCAGGTCATCTTCTGGTATCCGTACCGTAGCTTGCCCATGACGGATGCGTCGGCATTGTAGAGGACGTAGACTGTTCGCTGGGGCATGTTGGGTCGTGTGGTGGTCGGCCTGATGCTGGCTGTTCCGTGCCGGTTCAAGTTGTCAAGGATCAGAAACGACGCCAGCTGAAGCGCTGAAGTTTTATGTCAAGCCACCCCTCCAGAGTCACATGACAAATCTGGCGTATCTTGCTAGCTGCAGACAGCCAGAAGACTACGGAGAACAGCATGCATTCTTCCAGAATTGCGTTTGTTGTCAGGTCATGTCTCATGCTGAAGCGTCAGAAGCCGCAGCCTCAACCCCTGCCGTCTCGGAGGCACTATATCCTCCATTACCTACATGAATATACGCTTAACGAGACTCGCTGGCACAAACAGTCACCACAACTGGCTTTGCAGGCCGCTGGGTAGGCAGTTGCTTCATGTCCCTCGCCCAGTCCTCCGGGGCAGCCTCGCCCTCACCAGTAGCTCCCGCCTCCCATCCAAGCCAGTCTCTCACGCCTTTGGCCGTGATCTCGCCATCCAAGCTCAGCCCATTGTCCAGCATGGCCTCTACTACGCCTATACATATTTCTCTAACAAAGTCCTGGCCCAAGCACGCCTTGCCGTGTGCAGAGAACGCAAGTCCTGACGGTTTGTCCTGCGCGGCATCCACGAACCTGTCTGGGACAAAGGCAGCCGCGTCTTCGCCAAACACAGCTGGATCACGCCCAGCGCCAACAAAGTAGAGCCATGCGTCCCAGCCCTCGGGAACAAGGACGTCAGGCGCATCAGTGTTCCCTGAGGGTACGACAATTTCACGTGTCACCCTGCGCATGATGCCCACGATAGGCGGACTCAGCCGCTCCGTCTCGCGCGCGAGGCTGCGCAGCATGGCAGCTCGTTCGTTCCCTCGAAGGACTTGAATCTTGTCCAGCAGCCGCACGTCATCCTTTTCGTAGAGAAAGACATCAAGCAGATACGCAGCGAGGAGAGAGGCGATACCTTTGACAGCCAGGCTCGAGGTGAACATGAGTACGTGGTTGACCACCTCGTTCCGCTCATCGGCTGTGAGTCCCTTGTCGGACATGGCGCGAAAGGGGCAGCCACCCTGTAGCAAAGGCTGCATCCGCTTTGAGATTAGCTCTCGCAGCTTGTTCCTGGCGGCGATCCCTCTACTGCGAGGGGACTGCCAGAGCCCCAGATTGACGGATACGGGGAAGAGGCTGAACTGTCCCCTGAGTAGATCCTCCTGGAGCTTTTGGATCTCTCCAAACAGGGCTTCCTTCTCGTCGAGCTGGAGAAACGTTCGCATCGCAATCTTCCAGGCGAGCGACTTGAGCGACTCGTAGAGATCAATCCGCGATCCGGCGAGGCCCTGAAAGTGCTCCGTCGCCGCCTGCCGGATAAACGGACGCATGCGCGCCTCCTGGCCCTCCATCCGCCGCAACCACGCCTCACGCATGCCGGCATGAGCGACACCGTCCGAGAGCAGCAGATTAGGTCCAGGGAAGAAATCCGCGAGGAACTGCTTATAGGCGCCCGTGGCCACGAGTGAGGGACCGCCCGCCTCGTTGGTGTCAGGCCGTGCGAGGATATGCTTGACCTGGGCATGCGACGAGATGACGGCTACATTTCTGTTGAGAACCTTGGCGTGGACGGCCGTCCGCGACTTGACGACGTCGGGGGCGTGAGTGTGAAAGTCGCGGACGCAGGATGCTATGAAGGCTTCTGGGCTGGCGTGAAAGGCCGTCGTCTGGGCGAGGACGTTGGATGCCTTGGCTGGACTGTAGGCCAGCTGGGGCTCTTGTGCCATGGTCGACGGCTACCTTGTGAGGTTGGGGCTGTTGAGTGCTATGGACATGTTTCTATGATGGGCGCGGCCAGGGGAGCCGACGACAAGGTCCTTGGGAATAGTGACTACCAGTGTAGGTGAACAAGGAGTGAGATATTTGGAATCATGACGGCATGCATGATGAGTGGGAGTAGGTACCTTAGTGACTTCTTGGCTGGCTGGCTGGCTGGCTGGCTCAAGTCAACAAATGTACCCCGCAGTTGTCGGCCCAATGCCATTTCCGACTTTACCATTTTCGCTCCTCCGTGTCTCACCTCTCTTTCCCTCTCCAATTCGTTGGTCACATACCAGACCTGCGCGGGCGGGAATCGTCATGCCAAGAGAGGCGCCACGTAGGGTTGTCGGGTCGTGTGCCTTGGACTGGACGGACGTTGCTTCGCAGAGTCAGTCGAGGCTCATGGCTCTGCCCGCTGAGCTTCGGGCCAAGATATGGACCAGTTTCTTTTCCCACGTGGCACGCCCGCGGTTGCGGTACGCCTGCGATCTGGAATGGAGCTTGGATACGGACTCGCATTTCGAAATCGACTGGCTCTACGCCAGCAAGCGGCTCTACCTGGACGCCTGGCCCGTCTGCCTGGCGCAGGTGCGTCTCGACGTGGTGTACATTGGCCACGCGCCGACGCAATTGGCTGTTCTGCCTCCGCCGATCCTTCGAAGAGAGCTTCGCGAGATATGCTTCCACTGCCCCGTGTCGGTTATGGAAGAGCGACCACCGAGGCGGCCATTTCCTTTCCATAGGTACCCGCGCCTGAGCACCTTTCGCATTGCTAGCAACATCTTGATTCTTCTGGATAGATTCCGGTGCAAGGAGAGCAATGTCCCCATGACTGTGGAGGTGTATCGAGCCCTTTCACCCCCGGAGAGGCTGGCCGCATGGAAAGACGCCGGCCTGCCGTCCGTGGACGAGATCATGGAGCACATGACCGGCATGGGCAAAAGCGGCTGGCTAAGTCGCGTCGTTGATCCAAAGAATTTTACGCGCCCGCTCGTTCTCACGCTGGACTCGGATGATGATGATGATGATGAGGGTGGTGGTGGTAGGGAGGACAGCAGCGAGGAGTGGCAGGGGTGGACAGAGCCACAATGTTCGGAGGACGAGCAAGAAGAGAAGGGCCTCTTCTATCAGGCCCCCCGATCGGCGGAGTGGTTGGCGGCGAAAGAGGCCCGGGACCTGGAGGCGTTTCGAAGAGTCGCGGAGCAGGTGCACACCTTGGTGGAGGCGGAACTCACGCTCTTCGAACGGAACGTCTACCCCATGCCGGACGATACGCTGGATACACTCTTCGTTCTTGTAGACACGAGGACGCGGAAGATTATGGAAATGAGGATGCTGGATGCAGCAGAGATGGAGGAGAGGGCCCGGTGGGCTGCGCAAGCGTAATCTGTGGAATGGGCATTGGCATTAATGGCTTCTCAAGCCAGCCAAATGCCCCGCCGGAATGAGAGAAGTCGACGATGACAATACATGGACAACATGAAGGGTTGAGGCCAGTAGGGCCTTTAACTTTATTGTGACAGATGTGACAAGTCCCGAGTTAGGATTTGCATATTGGGTTACCCTATACCGCCCTGGGCTGGACAAAACACTACATGCAAGGTAGTCTAGCGCGTCAATGACTGCCTCGCCCCCGCACGCGGCACGCGCAATCCATGATCATCATACATACTGCCATGGCCCATGATACCCCAATCTGGATTAGCACTGGCTTGGGCCGTCTGGCCCGTCTCCCATCTTTGGAATCATCGAGGACCCCTGCACAAGTCAAGATGCCCTCGACAATTGAATAACCACGCTTCCTCCACCTAGCGACGCGACAACAGCCGTGTCCGCCTTCCTGTCGCTCCTCCCATCTTCTCCCTCAACTCCCCCACCACCATGAGGCCCCCTCGTGGCGTCACGCCCGCCCAAGAGCACGACAGCAAGGACGTCTCCCCCCAGGCGTCCGGCGCGCACCCACCACCAGCACACAAACCCCAACCACGCAGGCTACTCCACCTCCTCCACATCTACCTCTCCATCCTCCTCCTCTTTGTGAATTACTTTCTCGCCCAGTACGACAAATTCATCCTCTCCTACTTCCGCCCCCAGGTCCAGGCGTCCCTTGGCCTCACCGAGGCGCAGTATGGCCTCATCAGCGGCTACGCGACGGGCATCGTCTACGCCCTCCTCGCGCTGCCCATCGCCCTCGTCGCCGACTACACGTCCGCCCGCGTGTGGACGCTGAGCGTCGCCGCCACCTGGTGGAGTCTGTGTGTCGTCTTTCAGGGCCTGGCGAACGACTTTGGCCAGCTCTTCTGCGCCCGCATCGGCATGGGGATCGGGCAGGCGGCCGTCGAGGCCTTGAGCATCAGTCTCATCAGCGACCTCGTCGCTTGGCGGAATGTCTTTCTCGGCACCAGCGTGCTCTACGTTGGCGTCTACGTCGGCGAGGCCGTGAGCGGCCAGATTGCAAACGCCTTTACCGAGACGGGTACCAGCTGGCAGGTGGCCATGAGGGCCATTGGCATCACTGGCATCGTCGTCGCCGTCCTGTTGCGCCTCGTGCTGAGGGAACCCACGCGGCGTGAGGCCATTGTGGTTCTCGGGGGACGTCCGGGGGCGTGGGACGCCGCGTCGTCGGAGATTGGAGCGGGGGTCGGGCCCGTGCCAGGGTCCACGGCCCGCAAGCGCAGGAGCATCCGGACAGCCAAGGCGGATCTCCTCAGCACGGGGGCGTACATCATGCGCATGCACTCCTTCTGGCTGCTGCTGCTGTCGGCCGCGATGCGCCAGCTAGCTGGGAACACGTTTGGCTTCTACATGCCTGGCTACCTTTCGACGCTGTATCAGGACACGACAAACCTGCTCTCCCGCTATGGCCTGATTGTGGGTATCGTCGGCAGCGTGACCGTCTTGTTCGGCGGCCTGCTGACGTCGCTGCTGTGGAACAGGACGAAGCTGACGCCAGTTTATCTCACTGCGGTGGGTGGCATGGTCAGCAGCGTCTTTGTGCTCATCATGGTCTTCTCACGGGACCTGGCGGGGGACGACGAGTCTAGGGGTGTCCAGATCCTGTATGGCGCCATGGCGGCCGCGTATGCCACGGCCGAGCTCTGGTTGGGCTGCCTCTTTGCCCTCATCGCGCTCCTGCTGCCTCCGGATTACAAGACATTTGGCCTCGCGATCTGGACCAGTGTCCAGGTCCTCGTGTACTCTTCCGGCCCGGAGGCCATGGGACTCGCTCTCCGGAACGAGGACCCCGCCAGTCCGGGGTATATCACCGCCACGAGGAACAGCTTGGCTGTGATCATCACCTTGGGGTACTGGGCGTGCGGGATCGGCCTTCTCAGTGCGATCCCTCTGCTCAAGAGGGATCTGAGGATGGAATTTGTGGAGGGTCGTCTTAGCGTGCGTAGAAGGATGGCCTTTGGGGGGTTCGTTGTAGCGGTTGTGTGTCTGGTGATTATTCTGTTCACCATGAGTCTGGTGTACGCGGTTTAACGAGGATGAGCTGGTCGCACGGTTCTTGAATGATGATTTTTGACTCGGAGAAAGTTTTGCGTGATGATGAGCTGCGCTTTCAGTCCTGACCCCAGGCTGGTTGAAGTATCTTCAAAATAGGTACCGGGTAGTCATCGGCCTCTCGACCTCTACTCCGAAGATGCCTGAAGATGCCTCGGCTCGTGTGCCCACAAAACCACGCCATCGGCCTCCTCCCCCGGGAAAGACGCCGCATCAGGCGCAAGTGTCCGTTGTGGATGGAGCCCACGGCCAGGCCGGGGACAGGTTGACAACTGCGGGCGTGCGGGCAGCGTCCCTCATGGCAAAGCCTTGCCACAGATAAAAGACCAGGACAACCCCTCTCTTTGACGTATATCCGCGACTCATCCTTTTACAATCACAATCACAACAATGGCTCGTGAGAACTTGACTATCCGCCTCGCTGAGCGCCCTACGGACGAGATCGTCCCTGGCACGACCTTCACTGCGAAGCGTGAGGCGGCCCCCTCCCCCGACGACCTCAAGGATGGCGAGATCCTCGTTGAGGTGCTGTATCTATCTCTCGACCCCTCGCTGCGTGGACAATTGAACGGTGCGTGCGGCTTCTTTTCCCACCCCCCAAAAAAAGGGAAGAAAAAAAAAAAAAAAAAGACCTTGACTAAATGAGCGACAGACCGCCGCAGCTATGTGCCCCCCGTGCAGATCGGAGCCGTCATGAACGGCGCTTCCGCCTCGCGCGTGCTCGCCTCCAAATCGAAGCTGGTCCAGCCCGGCGAGTACGTCTATGCCGCCACTGGCTGGCAGCAGTACAAGATTCTCAAGGCGGGCACCTTTGAGCCGGCATCTGCCTACCCTGGACTGCAGCAGCCGCAGGACATGCTCTCCGCCATGGGTCTGACCGGCGTCACGGCGTGGTATGGCGTGACGCAGATCGGCGAGCCCAAGGCCGGCGAGACGTTTGTCGTGTCGGGCGCGGCGGGCGCCACGGGCAGTGTGGCCGGCCAGATCGCCAAGCTCAAGGGCGCGCGTGTCGTCGGCATTGCCGGCAGCGACGAGAAGTGCAAGTGGCTCGTCGACGACCTGGGCTTCGACGCGGCCGTCAACTACAAGGCGCCCGACTGGCGCCAGAAGCTCAAGGAGGCCACGCCCAACTTCATCGACGTGTACTATGACAATGTGGGCGGGGAGATTCTGGACGCGGCGCTGGCGCGGGCCAAGGAGCACGCGCGGTTTGTGATTTGCGGCGTCATCAGCCAGTACAACAGCTCGTCACCGGCGGGGATCAAGAACATCCACCAGGTGGTGACGATGCGCATCAAGATGCAGGGATTCATCATCTTTGACGCGCAGGCCCAGTATGCCCAGGCGCGCAAGGAGCTGGGCACGTGGCTGGCCGAGGGCAAGATCAAGAAGAACGAGACGATTATCAAGGGGGGTCTGGAGAAGGCGGAGCAGGGGCTCGTTGATCTGTTCAGGGGCGTGAACCAGGGCAAGCTGCTGGTGGAGGTGAAGAACCCGAGTGAGACGCCCTCTAAGCTGTAGGATGGTCAGGGTAGGGAATGAACAAGCATGGCAATGTACAACGACTTGACGCTCAATGTGATTTCCGCACGTATGGAGCATGGCACTGTTTGATCAGGGAAATCTTCCCCAAAGTGACGAGACTGGGATTGTAAACACTCACAAAGCCCACTTATACTGCAGAATCTTCGACAGGAAGGGAGTTCGAGACGTACCTTCCTCGAGTACTATGGAATTACCCGTTTGGGACATGGTACGGCATCCACTGAAGGAAGGCACTGCAGGAGGGAAGGAACGCCCTAGCGCCCCAATGTCAGACAGATTCACTGCTCACTATTATTCATGGTTTCTACATGTACATGTACGGTACACGACAGCTCTGCACTACCCACCCTACTAGATCTTCTCCGTCTCGGTGGTCAAGGCCTCCTTGCCTTCTGTGGCCTCGGCCGTGTAGGGATCGACCTCTGTCTCGGCAAAGCGGCGGGCGTTGATGCCCTTGGCAAACAGCATGTCCAGCTCGGCATAGGTGCGGCCCTTGGGCTCCGGCAGACGGAAGAAGACCCAGACGCAGGACACGAGACAGGTGCCGGCCCAGAAGTAGGCCGTCTTGGCGCCCCAGTCCCATGCGGTGGAGGAGAGCTGGTAGTTGGTCATGACGTTGACAAAGATGTTGCTGGTGTTGTACGCGGCGCGGGCGAGGACAATGGTCTTGGCCTTGAGGCGGGTCGACGATAGCTCCGACACGAGCGAGTAGGTGACGGGCCCGACGGCAAAGTCGTATACAAAGGTGAAGAGGATCAGCATGCCGCCAATGGCCCAGGAGAAGGAACCGCCCTGACCAAAGGACAGGCTGCCGACGATGAGGAGGATGAGGAGCTGGCCAGACAGACCGGAGAAGTGAATTGTGCGGCGGCCAATCTTGTGCATGAGGAACCAGGATCCGGCGGTGCCCACGAGGCCGAGCGCGGAGTTGGCCATGGACATGGAGAATGCCTGCTTCTCCGTGAGACCGGCCTGCTTCATAAAGTAGCTGTAGTAACCCATGAGGTTCTGTCCACCGAGCGTCTGCACCGTCCAGATGCCGACGACAATCTCTGTGCGGCGCAGATCGATGCCCCGGAAGCAGTCTAGATACGTCGTGCCCTGCTTTGCGCGGCGCTCCATCTCGTTGGTGTGCTGGATCATGGCAACCGTCTCGTCCGGGTTGAAGTGCGGATCGTTCTGGTTGGTGAGACGGAGCAGGGCCTTGCGCGCCTCCTCGTGGCGATCCTTGCGGACGTACCACCAGGGCGACTCGGGGGCAAAGTGCAGACCGCAGAGGATGAGGACGGGCCAGAGCCACTGGACGCCAAAGGGGATCCGGTACGCGCGGGCGTCCTGGTAGTCGACGGAGCCGCGGCTGACGGCGGCCGCGAAGAACTGGCCAATGACCCAGCACATGTTGATAAAGGTGGTGAGGTACGGGCGGAGGATGACGGGCGAGACCTCGGACGCGTACTGGGCGGCGACGCTCTGGAAGGCGCCCCAGGGGATGCCGCAGAGGACCTCGCCCAGGACGAGGATCTGGACGTTGGGGGCGAAGAAGAGGGCGAAGATGGTGCCGATCATCATGTACAGGAAGCCAATGGTCGTCCACTTGGCGCCGTAGCGGTCCGTGATCCAACCAGCAATGAGGAGGCCAATGACCTCGCCGGCGCGCGCCCCGTTGGAGAGACCGCTCTGCCAGGCCGCGCTGATGACGTGCTTGCCCTGCTCCTCGGACCAGGCACCGTACTTCTCGTTGAAGACGGGGGAGGCGTAGAGGTTGCCCAGCAGGGCGAGGTCGTAGCCCTCCATGATGAGGGTGGACGAGAGGAGCATGGACCAGCCGATGGCCTTGGGGTACTGCCTGACGGCGGCCAGGATGCCCATGTTGTGCTCCGCGTCGGCGGCGTGGGCGGCATCTTGGGCGAGGTGGGCGGCATCGACATGGCCCTGGTGCTCGGAGGAGGGTGTGGTGGTCGAGTCCCGGGGGACTTTGGTGTCGGTGGTAGCAGTCATGGTGGGCAAGGGGGGGAGTGGTCTCTGTATACTCTGTACAGCCCGTTGCTTGAGATGTGCAGTGCTGGAGGAAGAGGCTCTGGATGCCAGAGAAGAGAGGGATGTGATCAGATCTGACAGGACACTTCAAGGGGCGAATGACCGCTTCTTATATCGAGGACGCACAGGTCAACGAACCAGCCGCGTCGACCAGGGTTGGCAGGCTGAGCGACGCAATGGCAGACGACACGCAGACAGCCCGCAAACGAGTCTATCCGATCAGCTGGGCCCGTGCAAGCCACGCGACGACGACGAGAAAATAAGTCGTCTACCACGCAATCGCATGTCCGGGGGAAGAAAAGCGTGGAGATTGTGGGGGAGGCAAAGAATCTGGGACGATGAAAAATCACCGCGAGGACAGGAGACTCCGCCCATGGGGCGCCCTGCCTCCCCACACCGCGCGGAGAGACCGGTCGTCGATTGGCAACGGCTGAGTTGGACGGAGTTCCTGTTGTGCGCGTGGCATGCGGAGCACAGGAGTGTCCGCTGGGGGGGGATCAGGGTTCTCGCTGCTCGAGGGGACTCTCCTCCTCAGGCCAACAACTCCGAGTATCCGTCTTGGAGAGGCATGATGGGGACGCTCATAGGTGCGTGTCCCGACAGCGGGTCATGTAGCGGGTTCTTGCGTCCGCCGTCTGCTTCTGATTGCCCGATCGCTTCCTGTCTGCGACGCTGTGGTGCGGAGAATCCGACGAGGAAGCCTCCCGTATCGCACATGCGGACGCGAGGCTCGTAAATTGCGCTCGCCCTCGTCTCTCATATCAAGTTCGACTGCTGCTCCTCTGTCTCTTCTTCCGACATCAGCCTCCAGTCCCAACTCACTCCATAGCCGCCATGGGCTCCATATCGTGGGATCGCCAAAATGGCTTCACAAACGAACCCTACTGGAAAGACGCAACCTTCTACCAAGTCTACCCTGCCTCATTCAAAGACTCTAACGGTGATGGCTGGGGCGACTTGCCAGGCCTCATCTCCGAGCTGGACTACCTCTCTGACCTGGGCGTGGACGTGATCTGGGTGAGCCCCATCTTCGACAGCCCCCAGAAGGACATGGGCTACGATGTGCGCGACTACCAGAAAATCTACGCACCGTACGGCTCCATTGAGGACGTGGACATCCTGCTCAGGGAGTCACACAACCGTGGCATGAAGGTCATCCTGGACCTGGTCGTGAACCACACATCGCAGGAGCACGAATGGTTCCAGGAATCGCGCTCGTCCAAGGACAACCCGAAACGTGACTGGTACATCTGGAAACCGCCGCGCTACGACGCCGAGGGCACGCGGATACCGCCCACCAACTGGCGCTCGTACTTTGCCGGCCCAACCTGGACCTTTGACGAGCACACGCGCGAGTACTACCTCCACCTGTACGCCTCGGACCAGCCCGACCTGAACTGGGACAACGCGTCGTGTCGCAGGGCCATTTACGACAACACGATGCGTTTCTGGCTCGACCGCGGCGTCGACGGGTTCCGCATCGACACGGTCAACAAGTACAGCAAGCGTCAGGACTTTGTCGACGCCCCCGTCACGGACCCCAGCTCGCCCCATCAGTCCGCGCCCGAGATGTGGTGCAACGGACCCCGGATCCACGAGTTCATCCACGAGATGAACAGGGACGTCCTCGCGCCCTACGAGGCCGTCAGCGTTGGCGAGCTCAGCAACACGCCCGACCCGCGCCAGGTGCGGCCCTACGTCTCGGCCCGGGCGCAGGAGCTAGACATGGTCTTTGAGTTCTCCCTGATCCGGCTGGGCACGGGCAACATCTTGGGACCCAAGTACATTTATCAGCCGTTTCCCCTGTCCAAGATGAAGGCCTTGACGCAAAAGTGGCAGTTTGTGGATGGCACAGACGACGCCTGGACGACGGTGTTTGTGGAGAACCATGATAATGCTAGGGCTGTCTGTCGCTTTGGCGATAGCTCGACGCCGGAGCTCTGGAATAAATCGGCAAAGACTATTGCCCTGTGGCAGGTGACTCTCACCGGCACCCTGTTTCTCTACCAGGGCCAGGAGATTGGCATGACGAACATGCCCTCGTCCTGGGGTATCGAGGAGTACAAGGACGTCGAGAGCACGGGCTTCTACGAGGAGGCTGTGCAGTCGGGGGACCCGGAGCTGATCAAGAAGACGTTGCATGGTCTGGGACACCTCGCGCGCGATCATTCACGAATTCCTTTCCAGTGGGATGCGTCGCCGAATGCTGGGTTTACCCGTGAGGGAGCAACGCCGTGGATGCGCGTGCATGACGAGTACAAGTCCATCAACGTGGCGCGCCAGCGGGACGATCCCGACTCAATTTTGAGCTTCTACAAAAAGGCCCTCACGCTGCGCAAACAACATAGGGATCTGTTTGTCTTTGGATCGTTCACGCTGCTCGATCCCGAGGATGAGAGTGTCTTCTCCTATGTCAAGAGGGATATCAAGGGCCACACCGACAAGATTGCTGTTGTGACATTGAATATGAGTGGGGAGCAGCAGATGGGCACAGATGTAGCCTCGATCCTGGGCAGTGAGGCGCGGTTGGTCGTTAGTACGCAAGACGGGAGCAAGCTGGTAGACGGGCGGCCGGTGCTGAAGCCGTGGGAGGGCAGGGTGTATGTGAATTACTAGCGCGTTTCTGGGTATTTAGCTTGCCGTCTCTCACAACGAATGGACAAGCCTCTCGTGCTTGACCGTCCATCTACCGTCGTGTGGAAACCCACAGCCTAGCCCTTGGCCATAAAGGACACTGCCTACAGGAAGCCTGCGTTGCCAGGCATACAGGTGGAAGGAGTGCCTCCGTCACGGCCACGAAAGGCGAACCATGGTTCTTGTTAGCGTGATTTGTGTGTATCACCGCGAATACTCACCAGCGTCATCAAACGTCCAGTAGTCGTAGGCTGTCAAAGTGGTAGATGGCGCTGTCCGGGTCCCCGACCTTGGCCGAGTTGATCGCCAGGATCGGCCTTGCCCATCCGCGGATCTTGTCTTCTGTCCAGACCCCGGCCACCTTGCCAGCCGTCTGGACAGCCGTGGCAAATTCCATGGCGACGGTGTCGGGGATGAAGCCCGTCCTCATGAGGAGGCTGCGCGGGTCGCCGTTGAGCTTGGGGTCGTCCCACCAGGTGGCGTTGTCGCCCAGGTAGACGGCGTAGAGGTCGTCGACTTGGGGTGGCGGCGCCAGTTTCTCGGCGACGGTAGTCCAGTCTCCAGGAATTTCTCGGCCGAGGGTTTCCTTCCACTGTATGGCTGTGTTGAGGCCGCAGCGCCAGTATGCGATTGGGGACGATCCTTTGAGGGGAGAAGTGCGCTGTGAAGGCGATGGTGTTTGTGGCCTTGGTGGGCGCCAGGGTGAAGCAATGTCCTTTTCTGGGACGTGGGCCCCTTCTCTTCGTCACGCGAGAGCTGTAGGGGGGCTTCCTCGCTCCAGTGCATGTTGACATGGTATTTGGTCTCTTGCATCTCATAATAGATATGCGCCGTGTTGGGTGTCTTGCAGTTGACCTTGCCAATCGTCGTGTGGTTCGCGGGAAAGCATAGACGCCCACAAAGACCTCGTGCTTGTACTGCATCATGTGGATGGGCGGCTAGGGGAAGTCCAGTTCGACAGCGAGCTCCCGTGTCTCGAGGGGAGATGAGTGAATCGCAAAGGTGACCGCGTCCGAGTCAAAGTCGCCCTGCGTGATCACCTGGACATCCTGGCCGTCGATCTTGTACGGCGACACGATCTTCTCCCTGTCATTGCTCGTCAGGGTACGCTTCTCCACGTGACTCAGTCCTCAAGTGCCTATCAATCTTGGCCGCAGCAAGCAACGGGAGGAGAAAAAGTGCCTATTGACTCCGCATAGTCTTCATCTTGATGAACATCACTAGCTGCCCCTGATAGTGCAACCGCTCCGACTTGGCGGCCTTACCTTGTTTACATGTCGCATGACGCGTGGAAAAAGAGTAGTTTTCGGGGTCATCAGTGCGTTAGGGGCCCGTGTTGTAGATGTTGCAGAGCAAACTGCTTCGACTCGATCCCCCCCAAACTGTATGGTACCATTCACATAAGTAAGCTGGCCACTACACTATACAAGAAATAGTTATTTCAGTCTTGTTACAATCGTTGATCCCTATGTGCATGTGGTCGAGACGCGATATATCACACGACGACTCTCCATGCTATAGACTACATCGATAGCGACTTGCTCACGCTTGAGGGCTATGCTCCCGCAGAAAGTCCTCTAATCGCGTCCATTTCAACCCCGGGTATCGATCATTGTCGAGGAGATCGAGCTTCCCAGCCCCAGACATCATGTTCTCCATATACTGCATGCCCTGCCATGACGGAAACACCTCATCTTCGCTGCCAAAAGCGCGCATTGCCTTGATCAGGAGCTTTGTGGTGCCCACCGTGCCCATCCACTTGGCCGCGTAGGTCTGCCCCGTCACGCGTGTCTCCGTGTCGACAATGTCCTGCACGCTGACGACGGCGCTAGCGATGCGCAGACAGCGTGGTGTGGGTGACGGATCGGTGGCGACAGCGGCAGTGTAGGCCGCCACGTCCACCATTGGGGTAAAGTCCAGCGCCTGCGTCGGCTGGCCGACGTACGTGACCTTGCGCGTCTCGTGGTTGACCATGGGGCTGTCGCCTACCAGGACCTCCATGAAGCATCCGTTGAGGATACTCGTCCAGGCGATGCCCGATGCCTCGAGCTTGGCGTGGAACTCGCGATGAAGGTCCAGATTCCGGTTCGAGCCGGGTTCTGTCTTTGTGAAGTCGAGGGAGAAGTCAGAGGGGATGAAGCGCGGCACCTGCGCGGCCACGGCTGCGTCGAGGAGTCTGCCCTGCGCGTCAATCATGGCGTCTCGCAACCCCAGGAGCGATGAGATGACACAGGTAGCGCCCTGGAGTTCGTGCGTCAGAGCGTCGACGTTGCTCATGTCCACGGGCTTGATGGTCGCGCCAGCTTTGGCGAGGCCCTCTGTGCGCGATGGGTCGGTGTTTGGGCGTACCAAGGCCTTGACGGCGACGCTACGTGAGAGCAGAGCTTGGACGATGAGTTTGCCGAGCGCACCTGAGGCGCCAGCGACGGCGATGAATCCGGCACTCATGTTGGGAGGATGATGGCGATGGGGAGGCGGGTTCACAACTCGTGAAGAGGCTAATCAGGAAGAAAGCAGATAACCTGAAGAGGGAGACGCTGATAAAGAAGAACACAAGAAGAAGAAGAAGGAACAGGCCTCGTGGGATTGGAGTCTAGACTCTACATGTAGTCCGCAGCGTGAGTCGTGACTCATGCCAGATGCATCTTGTGCATCTTGTGATAGCATGGACACGGGGCGCATGTCCTATGATACATGGATGTGCATCCTGAAAGACTCGCTATCGCAGATATACGCGGATTAAAAAGAGCGAACTTTTTGCTAAGATACGTCGATGACAAATGCTGTCAAACATTCGGCCGAATAGACGGCCGAAGAATTCATCCGCCTTATCAACCGATTCACGGCTTATCATGCACGTCGAGGACTTTCACAATTGGACCCACATAGGAATTGAGACTGCCTCCCCAGTATATCCTATGGAAACACGCCCTGTCTCTGAAGATTGTCATCAGGCAGTGTGACTGAACTACCGGGCACCCTGATAGAAGCAATATCATCCACGGCAATGCCGCACCTTTCGAGTGTACGCCTAGTGACACACTCGATTGGTATGTCGCCGAACGTATTGACAGCGTGCCTCCCTGTTTGCCAGCTCAACACCCTGCAAGCCATGTATTTCATCAGACTGGCATACATCACACACTGCTGGCCAGCGACCGACCCTTCCAAGATTGTTTCCAATCACCGCGATCGCATGGCCATAGTCTCAACCAAGCATCCTCCACCAAGTGGTCAACGTCATCCAGATACTCATTCCAATCTCCGTCGTAGTCCATCTTGCGCCGCAGGCTTTCGTCTCGAGCCACGACTGCCTTGTGGGCTTGGCCGCCTGGATTGTCATCCAAAAAAGCGTTGGGATCCCGAAGGCCAATCGACGACTGACAGATCCAATGACCGCTGAGCCAGTCCAACAGACATGAGAATTCGTCGTGGGAGTTATTCCCCTCTCCAAATAGATCGTAATCTGGGCATTCGACTACCAAGCGCTGGACCATGAATTGACGTAATCCCATCCCGTCAGCCCGGCGCTTCTGCGTCTGAGTGATGGCAAGAAATATAGACCGAGCCAGGCCCTCGTCTATCGCGACGTTAACGAGTGCTCCCTGCACGAAGCTTATCCTGGTTTCGCGATCGTACGTGTCGGACGAGAAGGCGCCATACTTGATTAGACCGTTACTATTAGGATAAGTATAGTTAAAGGTAATGTACGCTGACTCTAGATGACTAAAGTGACCTAGGGCGTTGTAGAATGCGACTTCGGTCTCGTCGCCGCCTGTTCGTCTGATCGTGACGTTGAGGTGGTGTACTCGGCGGCATACCTCGGCGAGACGGTACGCGTTCTTTAAAGTGAATGCGACGGGCTCGTCAAGGCTGAGCTCGCGTAGGTGAGGACCATGTGTTTCGAGGAGAGTGTCGAAAACGGCGTGTGACCTAGTTCGCCCGAGGCGCAATCCGCGCAGCGGGCAAAGAACCTTCAACACAGAGCACAGGTCGTTGATAGTTCGTTCCATACTATCGTCTTCAAACAAGTCCGGCGTGAGTTTGAAAATCTGAAGGGATCGAAGCGCACCCGTCCTGGCCATGTCGCCTAGCACTGGCAGTAGCTCTGGTTTGACGAGATTAAGATACAAACGTGACAGCGTAAAGAATTCGACAACTTCTTTCTACCGCTCAAGAAGGTATATAGTATTCCTAGGTAGAATATCAAGTTCTAGGACTCTAAGCGCTCTCTTCGACTTTAAAGTAGACTGACTATTATAAGGTCTTTGGCTTAACCTTGAAGAGAAAAGGCCAGGCCAGCTAGGTCGAAGGTGGTTCTGGACGTCCCGTGTCCCTCGCGAGTCACCTGGTTCGCTGTACTCAACGAAGACTTCTTCTAGTTGGGATTGAGGAGAAGCAAGTGCTTGTATAATGGCTTCCTCGTGGTAGTTCCAATTGCCGCAGTCATCGAATGCCTAGAGATCAAAACAGCTGATCTTATCGAGACGCGGAGATGTGAGAATTCTATAGTCTGCGTCGTCTATCTCCCGGAATTTCTGCCCCATTGGGGTATACAGGTTCTGAAGTTCAAGTGTTAGAGCGACCTGATAGTTTGGGCCTTGTGGTGTTGATGGACGGACTAAAGTCGGGGGAGCTGGCATTGGCATCGGCCACGTCAGATGGGTCAAGGCTGGTAGTTAACAGATCAAGTCGACTAGAGCGTCGAAATTGAAACTGTGACGCTGCTGCTTAGAGTTCCGAACCGCCGTGGAATGGTCATATCTCATGCCGAGCTGGACGTGAGGATCAGTGCAAGTCAGACGGGGAACGGCGTACAACACCGAACGTGATGCATGCGGTCCGCGAGCATGGCCGTCGCGTCTCTCACGGCCTGGGCCATGTCGGATAGATCATGAATTCTCACGACAAGGCGGCGGAACCGGCTACTTTCCGAGGCCAGGCGGCAAGTTCGACTGGCGAGAGCAAACGAATGCAGGCTGCGACTGTCGTCAAAGTGGTCGATTCGCAAGGAATCGCAGACTAAATCAAGGACGACAGATGGTAGGGTCTCAAGAGTCGCCATTGGGAGCGTCATGACTGGACCCTCGCGTGAGTGGGACGCGATTTATGTTGGTGCTCGTTCAGTCGTTTGCCAAGTCTCTGTTCTGTGGCATCGGTGACGTTTGATATGGCCAAGGCACTTTGACTGTTTAGAGTCTGGGACGCGGTTTGCCGTTGGTCCTAGTGGGTGGGGCAGGACCGTACGAAGGCCCCCAGTTGGAAGGTGCTGTCAAGTTAGTTAACGTAATCCACATGCGAGCGGCGCACCCAAGCGAGCGGCGCACCCAAGCGAGCGGCGCACCTTCCCCGTTATTTGCACACGACTATATTGCTTATTAATTATTACCGTATTTAATAATAGATAAATTTCTAAAAGAATCTAAGGTAACCCTTACCCTCGTAACTCTCGGAGGAGACGCGTTATTAAGTATCCGATATATTATAAAGGTCTATAATATACCTCTAACGACTATATATCGCTAACTAAAGGGGTTTAAAGCTAAAGCTAAGACTAAGCTAAATTTAATAAATCTAACGGATTTAGAAAAGAGAGTGATTATTAAGTATATACTCGATCTATCTTCGCGATCTTTTCTTCCTTAACTTTTTAATATTAAAGATATAACGTCATTAATAAGCGAACCGGCTAGACAAGCGAACCGGCCACTTTTCTATCATTATCTATCATTATTATTTAATCAATTACTCAATAATAACTAGCAATAGTAGATTAAAGGAATAAAGCTAATATCTTTCTTACTATTCAAGCGCTTCAAACCAACCCAAAATTAAGTATACAACGTATAGCTAAGATCTATAATATTCCACGTACTACCCTAAGTAATCGTAAGCACGGAACTTAATTAAGAAGCGATATTATAGCTAATTCACGGAAACTATCCGATCTTAAAGAATAGAAGCTAATTAAGTATTTACTCGATCTAGATTCGCGAGGGTTTTCCCCTCGGATTAGTAGTATTAAAGAAATAGCTAATCTATTGCGCGTCGACCGCGAAGCGTTACCCGTTAGTAAGCGCTAGGTAGGGAATTTTATTAAACAATAACTAGAACTTAAGACGCGTTTCTTTCGTAGATATAACTACTAGAGGGCTAAATACGAAAATCTAGTTATTATAAACGCGTGGTTTCGACTTATAGCGAATATAATCGCGAAGTATAGTATCCGATTAAATAATATCTATAACTTCGACGAGATAGGCTTTATAATAGGCGTTATTATAAGCGGTATAGTTATTATAAGCGTAGAAAGGTATAGGAACCCGAAAAGAGGCTACCCTAGAAACCGGGAATAGGTTATGGTTATTTAATCGATCTTTATATAGGGCTAGGTAGCGCCGCTGTTTATCGTTATTATAGGCTAATATTACCTCTTAAGCTAGTATTAAGAAAGTATACTCCTTAGTATTTAGGCTATCGTAACTATAAAAAATAGCTAGACTAATAATACTACGGGTCTTCTATAGCTAAAGTACTTTAATTAATATATAAAGAAGCGATCGAATAGTATATATTATCTTTTAATCTTTAATAGGTATAAAAGCTATTACTCTACCGAGTTCGAGGTATATTATAAAGAGAATAAGATTATTACGCTTTATATACCTCTTTATTTATCTTACCTACTCTAGCCTCTTAATATAGGCTGCTTTAGGCCGCTTAAAATAATATACGGTCGAGAAATAGAGTATCTAATTAAATACTCTATAATATATATTTTAAAGACTAACTTTTTTCATACTTTTTACGCTATATTCCGAGCTATAATAACCGAAAGTAATATTAAGGGAGGCTTTAGAGGGGCTAGAATTACCCCTCTAGATATAGAATATATAATCTCGAAGCTAGATATAAAGCTATATACTCTAACGCCTCCCGAGGGGACTTTAGAGCTTCCTAACCCTTAGGTCTTAAAGACCCTTAAGATAATTAAAGAGATTAAATCTTAGTCTACTTACCTTAAAAATCGAATTAGGAGATATAAGAGTAGCTCCTTAGTATTAATAATTAACGCTATAATATTAATAACTAAGGGTTTAAAGGTATACTAGTACGAGATAGCGTTATTAAGGATAGAGTTCCGGGATCTTCGAGATACTAACTATATCCTTAGCCGGCGCCGGAGAGAGAAAAAGACCCGCCTACGGAATAGAGGGATTATAATAGTAGAGGAAGGTTAAGTATTAATTAATTAAAAGGATATAGATTCGTAGTTAGTAGCTAAATTATTAAGGAGAGGTAGTCGGGTAAGGTCGGTATAGCTAGCTATAAGGTATTATAGTATGTGCGGGAAGGCCGGCTATAATTCACGAATATATCAGGCTAAGGTAGAGGTATCTAGAGATAAGTATAGTAATTAGTTTGAATTAATTAAATAATTTATTATA